GGATGGAGGGAGGGGATGGATGGATGGAGGGAGGGGATGGATGGATGGATGGTGGGAGGGAGGGGATGGATGGATGGAGGGAGGGGATGGATGGATGGATGGAGGGGATGGATGGATGGATGGATGGAGGGAGGGGGATGGATGGATGGAGGGGATGGATGGATGGATGGATGGAGGGAGGGGATGGATGGATGGATGGAGGGGATGGATGGATGGATGGAGGGGATGGATGGATGGATGGAGGGGATGGATGGATGGATGGAGGGGATGGATGGATGGAGGGGATGGATGGAGGGATGGAGGGGATGGATGGAGGGAGGGGATGGATGGAGGGAGGGGATGGATGGAGGGAGGGGATGGATGGATGGATGGAGGGAGGGGATGGATGGATGGAGGGAGGGAGGGAGGGGATGGAGGGAGGGAGGGGATGGATGGAGGGAGGGGATGGATGGAGGGAGGGGATGGATGGATGGAGGGGATGGATGGATGGATGGAGGGGATGGATGGATGGATGGATGGAGGGGATGGATGGATGGATGGATGGAGGGAGGGGATGGATGGATGGATGGAGGGAGGGGATGGATGGATGGATGGAGGGAGGGGATGGATGGATGGATGGAGGGAGGGAGGGGATGGATGGATGGAGGGAGGGGATGGATGGATGGATGGAGGGAGGGGATGGATGGATGGATGGAGGGAGGGGATGGATGGATAGATGGAGGGAGGGGATGGATGGATGGATGGAGGGAGGGGATGGATGGATGGAGGGGATGGATGGATGGAGGGAGGGGATGGATAGATGGAGGGAGGGGGATGGATGGATGGAGGGGATGGGGATGGAGGGATGGAGGGAGGGGGATGGATGGAGGGAGGGAGGGAGGGAGGGATGGATGGATGGAGGGAGGGGATGGATGGATGGAGGGGATGGGGATGGATGGAGGGAGGGGATGGATGGATGGATGGAGGGGATGGATGGATGGAGGGGATGGATGGATGGAGGGAGGGGATGGATGGATGGAGGGAGGGGGATGGATGGATGGAGGGGATGGATGGATGGAGGGGATGGATGGAGGGAGGGGATGGATGGAGGGAGGGGGATGGATGGATGGAGAGAGAGAGAGAGAGAGAGAGAGAGAGAGAGAGAGAGAGGGGAGAGGAGAGAGAGAGAGGGGGGGGGAGAGAGGAGAGAGGGGGGAGAGAGGGAGGGAGGGGGGGGAGAGAGGGAGGGGGGGGAGAGAGGGAGGGGGGGGAGGGAGGGGGGGGAGAGAGGGAGGGGGGGAGAGAGGGAGGGTGGGGGAGAGAGGGAGGGGGGAGGGAGGGAGGGGGGGAGAGAGGGAGGGAGGGGGGGAGAGAGGGAGGGAGGGAGGGAGGGGGGGGGGAGAGAGGGAGGGCGGGAGGAAACAAGCATGGTGTGTGTACAGGGATTAGACCCGTCCACTCACGCTAGAGTTGTTCCAATAACATACAGTAATTTCTCAAAGAGCAGATGTCTATCATGTTACAGCATATTTTCGGTTTTATTTAGTTTAGTTTAATTAGGATAATAAAAAGCTATTAAAACACTGGTTTTAGAAATTATTTATTAATATGAAACTTTCAAAAGTCATGGGTCACTGAACTATGACGACACACAGACGAAAGTGAGTGAAACCTCACTGTAAAGTGAGGTTTACAGTACAGTATTCTCTTATCTGTCCACCCTCACTCATCTTGTTTCATCACAGAAAATGTCTATAAGGAGATTTTACCACATGCAGCTAGGTAATCACGCTTCATCCTTTAAATTAATGTACAAAGATACGTGTGCCCCAAATCAGTGAACGAAAATCATGGAAACTCAGTTGTTCACTTGTGTGGATCACTCTGGCTGATGTTTGTGTGGACCATTTTGGCTGGTGTTTGTGTGGACCATTTTGGCTGGTGGTTGGTTCATATGGTTCACTTGTGTGATCCAACTTCTTATGAAGGAATTATTAATTGTAATCTGTGATAGAATGAGAAAGTTTTCCACCACTCTGTGAACTCTGTCCCAAAATCGTAAGCTTGTGGACCACTTGTGGTCCACATGTGTGGTCCACTTGTGTGATCCACTTGTGTGATCCAACTTGTCATATGAGAGAATTATTAATTGTAATCTGTTATAGAATGGGAAAGTTTTCCACCAGTCTGTGAACTCTGTCTGGACATCGTAAGCAAATCCGAACATCCCTCTCTTCGGCGAACCATTGTTCGTCGAACCGGGTGAGTAAATTCGGCCTGAAAAGTGTGCGAACTAGCCGGAGATTCGTTGAATCGGGGTACGTTGAATCGAGGTTGTACTGTAATGTCAAAAACCGCAGCGCGCTCCACCCGCCGACGTGATGAAAGAGGACCAGAAAGAGAGCGCTGTGCCACCCCAAGGCGTCTCATTACATTAGAGAGAACGGTAATACTGAAAAGTTTATACTCTTTTCAACTCTGTCATCTCAATTCTCGTCCTATGTTTTTCAATTTGGTATCAATGCGTTTGCAATAGAATTCTCTACGGGACTAAATGCATATAAAACCCAAAAGCCCGGCGAGAAGTGAGAAAATGAGAGCGTGTTACCCGGGTGCGCGCAAGAGTAATAAAATGTATACATTTTTTTCACTTTGGACATCTCAATTCTCGTCCTAGGTCTTTCATTTTGGTATCATTGTGTTTGCAATAGAATTCCCTACAGGAGTATATGCATATAATGTCCAAAAGCCCGACGTACTACCCACAACAAACAGAGAAAGTGACGGAGTGTTACCCCAGTGAGGGCTAATAAAGAGCAATAAAATGGGTATACTCTTTTCAACTTTCTTACCTCAATTCTGGTCCTAGGTCTTTCATTTTGGTATAAATGTATTCGCAATGAAATTCCCTACAGGAGATATGCATATAAAGTCCAAAACCGCGGCAAGACCTTTCCAAAGACGCTGCTACTTTACCGCACCGACGACACAATGCTGCGTTGTTAGTGGAACTCCTCTTGCTGCATCGTTACCGAGCGATAGTGTTCAGAATAGGGGTTTGTTTTGGGGCACTTACCTTTCTGGGTGCCTCATCTGGTTGATGGCAGACATAGAATGCTTCCAACCACACTGGGGGTTTCTATAGGTCATTGTTCCTCATGATTCTCTGAGGGGGGCCAGGTTCTGGCTCGTGGTCCCCGGTAGGCCTAGAACTCCATGATGCCCGAGTCATTGACTGATGCCAGGGTTTAATACATTTATATCAGCCCAGATAGCTCCAGGGAGCTGAAGGGGTTCCCCCCAGAAAAGCCAGTAGTCAGACAGACAACTGCAAGATTCACAGAACATGATGCACTGGAACAGCAAAATGACTCTACAATCTATTCCGTTAAAACTACTGGTTCACTCTAAACTGGCGTGAATCCCATAGTACAAATGACTGTCAATAGGTACTACCACCAGAAGCTTCAGGCTTCTGTTCTATATTCTCTATTATATATCTTCAGGAAGCTATTTAGGCTCTAAAAAGAAAGAAGCATTTTATTACATTCAATTCTGGTTTTCTGGAGAAGTCTCAGGTGCTCCCTGAAGCTGTCTTAAAAAGAACAGTGAACAGAAGCTATCAAACAGAGACAGACAGAAAACATGGGCCTTACTACGGGGAAAAATGGCAAATACACAAGCCACTGAGATCCACAGAGATCTCTCAAACCCGAGTAGCCCAGGACAAGTTAGCGAACACAGCGGCCAAAGCCGCACACTCACAAACTTGGGGTGTGAAGGCAGCCAGCAGGTTTGCTAGAGCCAATGACACCGTGAACAACCTGGGACAACCATGCCTCAGAAGAGGGACCAAAGGACACTGGATCAACAAATAGGGCATACATTGAAGCAGTACAGGTGGCTTGCAGGCAACGATAAACTGCCGTGATGAAATACAACAAGTGGTGTGCCCGGGGCGGACAAACCGAGCATCAATCACCAAGGACTCCTCTAGGAGCCAATCGTCTCATTCTTTGTCAGTCTGAATACAAAAAAGTTGTTAAAGAAGAATATTCACCCATTCCAAAAGAACAGAACCTATGGCTCCGGAGGAGAGCATGGGCTTGGGGGTAGAACAACACTCCCAGAACCCTCTCCAGGATGTTGCCAAGATCTGAAAGTGACTAACCAAGCAGGACACCCAGGCAAAGACCTTCCAAAGAAGTCTTCCAGTGAAGTATACTGGTAAAGAAGAGAATATTAAGGGATGGGGGGGGGATGATACGACCAGGTGTTCACCGACTGAGACATAAGTAAGCAAGAAAGGACGTTAAGAGAAATATAGGAGAAAAGCAAAGAGAAAAATAAAGGGCAGGAAATGGAGTTGAGGAAATAGAATATGAAACAAGGGCAGGAGGAAAAAATGTGGACATAAAGTGGTAAAGTGAACCTAATCAGAGTGGCAAGGAAAGAGATCAGGACAGAGTATGTGACTAGACCAACACCCACATATCTCACCCTCTGAAATGGGACTAGTCGAGTTGCTTAGACATCAGCAACAGACAATGGCCGAGGCAAAAGGTTGGAGTGCCCAGAGCACCAACTGTTGGTGGCCATTTGCACTAGGGGGAGCAGGTTTGAGCTTTTGAGCTTGTTTTCTAAGAACCTTGCTGTTGTCTGTAATGATTCACTGACTTTCTGGATGCTTTCTTGATGCAGATGACTAACATTCCCCAGTTCTCTGTGTCTCCAAGAGGGAAGCTAGGTTCTGGCTCAAGGCCCCAGTAAGCTAAACAGGACTCCTATGGTCAATGTGACTCAGCGAGATAGCATCAGAAACCACACCAGAAGCTCCTCCAGAGAAACAACACACCAGAAAAACGTAATATACTAAAAGATGGATAACAAATACAAGAATAATGTACATATGGAACAAGTTCTGAGATAAAACCTCTAATAATGAACCAATAAACTGTTGTTTTGCAGGAACTGCAAATACAGACATTTAGGCTACAATATAGATACCCTGGTTTACTTACTTATGTTGTTCTTGTGTAACCATGAGAGACATATACTTCATGAGGACTTGATACACTTCACAAGGAACGGCATGAAGACAAAAGTCACGTCCAAAACCACCAAAAGATGCAATAAGATTGGCATCATCAGCTGCAGTGCCACATCTGTGGAGAATAAACATGCTCTTCATTCTTCTTCAAATAATTATTGTGATTTAACATGAAAATGTGCTATGAAAGAATCATAGAATTATATAATGGGACTACACAACTCAGTCCAGGCTCATGAATAGCTTTATTGACAATGCCAATATTCTGTAGTAATCTTTCCAAATGCCAGGCATCAAAGCTGCTCTTAAACTGCCAATTTCTGGGCGAGCCCCTGGAGAGACCGTGCCTCACCGGCCACACGGTCGTCAGTTTGACAAATGATGCAGAAGCCCGACTCCCTGAGGAAGGAAGGGTGTTCAGGAGTCACTGGTGCTCACCGAAAAATTGGCATTGCATTACATTCAATGCTGGTTTTCTGGGGGGTAACCCCTTTGTGGCTTCCTGAAGCTAACTACCCACAGAGAAGGAAGAGAAGGGCACTTACCAAAGAGGAGGGAGCACTACAGGTATCATAGTGAAAACAAGAACGTCGGCCTAGAAAGCCAACCCATGGCCACACAAGAGTGTCGAGTCCTGGGAACACTAACCAAGTACTGGGCTGCCAACACCCCTGATTGACCTCCAGAGCACCCATGCCCAAATCTCAACCCAGGACATATTAACAAAAACAACCAACAGAGCTGCACTGTAAAAGTGAAACAAAAGGCCAATGAAAAGGCCAAAAATTAAAACAAGTATTGCAATCTCTCAGGACACCAGACAGTGCAGGATGAGTAAATAATGAAGAACAGTAGACCAAGGCAGTGAACAGACTGCGAGGGCTACCTCAGCGAACCAAGTTGAGGTCGAGCGAATCACAGCTGTCCCCGCCAGCCAAAATCACTCCCGACCTAAGGAAAGACAAATAGTGAAAGACAGACAGCTTACTGGAAGGGCGAAGGCCACCACAAGCGAGGAAACCTAAGGAAGTGAACCCTGAGTGCTCCTTGGAAGATAACCTTGACAGTGCAAGGGGCAGCACTAAAGAAGCACCCAGGGCAGAGAATCCTGAACACATGCAGCCCCAAATGCTCTTAACTCAAGGCACACACTGCACCAAAATGCACAGGAACAGCCACAAAGGCAAAACCCATTATTCCCTTTCTTGGAAATTATCAAGACTTAAGTCAACCAAAAGGGAAAGGGGGTTAAACAGCACTAGACAAAACTGTCACCAAATGTATTTAAATACAATGTACAGGTAATTATTTACAACAGATATACAAACCACCAATAACACCCTACTTGTCACTGTCACACAGGACACCACAAAAACCTCTGTGATCCTCTATCACGGTGAGTTCTCCATCTAGCACAACACTCAGGGCTCCTCTGTGCACTTCTTTTGAGATACTCATGCTGATAAGTCCACTTTTCCAACCATTTATGGGCCAGCCCTCTGCAGTATTATCAGTGTCTAAACACTAACTCCAGCAGCATATTGGCTGGCTTCCTCTCAAGGCTTAACTGCAAACAAGCCTTAACCTAGAGGACTGACGGACGTTCACTCCGTATACAATCACAACTTGGCCAGCCCAGGATTCGTCATTCCAACACCAGTAGCTCGCTGGCTACCACAGACCACTGCCTTCAACGACCAGGCTTTTCTTGTTTTGACTGAAGCAAGCCTTGCGTTTCTGAGGACTGCCCTTGCTGACTACTCCTTGTAAACTGTTTTCTTCTGTCCAACGTACACCTCTCACAAATCATATAGTATGAAGGAAACTACACCTGTTTCAGCGAGACCACAGCCTTCCACAGGGGAATACAGAAAATGAGTTAGGTTCAGTCAACAGATGGTGCTAAGATTGTCACACCCACTTAGCTGGAAAGCAGGACGCTGGAGCCAGAGCGACAGAGAGGGCACCTCAATTTGTCTACCATCAGCAAGAACCAAGGGTGGAGCTGCTGGGTGACCCCCTCCCCTTGGCTGCCTCCCTCCTCCACCAAACGAGGTAGGAGGAGGGGCAAATGAGCAAGAGCTAGTTTCATGAATTTTGTATTCTTTGTTTACATTGTTGAGGAGCAGCAGCAGTAGGCAGGAGGCAGCAGTTTTCCTTCTTACCAGCAGTAAGATCTGTTTTGGTTCGCTGACTTTCTGGGTGCTTTTCTGGTTGTGGCGAACATGATTAAATGTCAGACAATTTCATTGTAGTGCCAGCCACTGCTACCTGCACATCTCTGGGGTGGCCAGGTTCTGGCTTATGGTCCCCGATAGGCCGAAAAGAACTCTGCAACTAATGCCACCTAGTAGTTTGGACCTATATCAACATATTAGCTTCTGGGAGCCACAAGGGGCTTCTCCCAGAGAAGTCAATAGATGGAGGCTCTAGGTAAAATAGAGACCCAGCAAATCCAAGTGTCACAGGCCTCAGGGCAGGTGGTAATACCCACTCAACAGGCAGCATAGTGAAGGGTACAAATGACAATTGACACGTAATAAGACATCTCTTAAACTTAAAAAACCAGCGTTGAATGTAATGAAACGCCATTTTCTGGGCGAGACCCGGAGGCTCCCTGAGCTATCCAGGCTGATATGGATATTATTTGACTTTGGCATCAGTCAATGTGAATGGAGTTCATAGGCTTACCAGGGACCACGAGCCAGAACCTGGCCCCGTCAGAGGCATGAGGAACAATAGCCTATAGAAATGCACATGTGATTTGGAGCATTTTATGTCTGCCATCAACTGGGCCAGGCACCCAGAAAGGTAGGCACCCAGAAAGATAAGTGCCCCAAAACAAACCCCTATTCTGGTTAACACAACTACTGAAAGCTAAACGAGTGGACAGAAGTCCCCAAATGAAAACGAGCATGACGTCACACGTGCGGTGCCGTTTGTTTGTGCAGCTTTCCCCTCTCCAGGAGGGGAAAAGGGGAGGGGGGAGGTGCAGCCAACGCAAGGCCCCCAGGGGCCGAACCCAGTGATCGCGAGAGAGGCGGAAGGGACGTCCCCGAAGGAACCAGAACAGCTGACGAAGCCAAACCTGACCCGGCTGGTAGACCATCATCGTAAAGTTCAGGCTTCCGCACAAACCCTAGAGCAACCACTGGTTATCCTGGGAGCCCCAGGCTCAAGTAAAGGCGGGAGAGCAGCCAAAGCAGAGACTCAGGAGGGAGAGACAATGAAACGGTTCGCGAGTCCCACACAAGACCCAGCCAAGTCCGAACCTGGGAGGGCATCAGATGGAATTTCCGCCAGCACACCAGGAATCTGAACCCGGCGAGCTGGAAAAGAACCAAATCCCTGGCGAGCAGACACACTGACTGTCTGGGAGCCCAGACCAGCCAGTCGTCGAGGTAGGCCAGCAGCACCCGAAGACCCAAGAGACGAAGACAGACCACCACGACTTGGGTAAGGTGTGTGAACACGCGAGGTGCTAGGTTCAACCCGAATGGAGACAACGAAAGCGGTAACCGAGATGCCTCACAACCAACCTGAGCCAGTCTCTGAACCCCGGATGAATCGGGATGTGCCAATACGCGTCCTGGAGGTCCAGACACACAATCCAAGTGCCCGGTTCCAACAGTAGCTGGACCTGAGACAGTAGTCATTCGAAAAGAGGGGCAAAAGACCCCTGGGATGTGTCCACTCACGGGGGCCTAGCAGAGGGTACCACCCAGAAACACAGGTATACAAAATCTAAGTCAGAGACAGGGGCCAATGAACCAAAAGGCAGACCCCCCCCCCACCAAGCAGAAAAACAAAAACAAAAGAAAAACCCATAAGAGGACAACATATCCAGGAGGAACTGAGCCGGTCGCTATAATAAGTGATAACTCGCTGTGCAGTACCCCGCACCCCAACCAGTGCAAACTACCCTTTATCCTAAGGAAAACAAGGGAGGAAGAAACCCCCCAGCACATTCAGGGTGGTCAAGGACTGAGCAGCAAAAGACCAACAGAGGTAGACCCCATCGTGACTTGTGGAAGATAACCCCAGGCCCCAAGGGCAGTATTTACACGGCACTTGGTGAAGAGAACCCTAAGCACATGCAGCCCGAGTACCAGTGAAGATTAGTCACGCACAAGCACCACCCTGAAGATAGCATTGAGACAAGAAACAGGAGCTGGAGTCACACAGCCATGCCTCAGTCACGTCAGCTGAAAACTGAAGGTGTGGGTCACCGGCATGAGGGGTCTGGGCCCCCCCCTCCCCCCTCCCAGGAAGGGAGGAGCTGTGCACATGGCAGCGCGGCGACGTGGTGACGTCATGCTCGTTTGCTCGTTTGCTCGTTTTTGTTTGGGGAGTTCTGTCCACTAGTTTGGCTTTTAGTCGCAATTTCTTAACCAGAATAGGGGTTTGTTTTGGGATGCTTACCTTTCTGGGTGCCTAACATGGTCGATGGCAGACACAGAATGCTCCAAATCACATGTGCATTTCTATATGCCATTGCTCCTCGTGTTTCCCTGAGGGGGGCCAGGTTCTGGTTTGTGGTTTCCAGTAGGCCTAAGAACTCCATTCACATGGACTGATGCCAAAGTCTAATAGTTCCATATCAGCCTGGATAAGCTCCAGGGAGCCGAAGGGGCTACCCCCAGAAAAGAAGCGTGTGAGGGCTAGATGAACTGATCAATGACAAACCCCAAAAAGATTTGCAATGTTTACCAGGGACTGATGGTAAAGACCAAGCAGAACACCAAGGTACTAGTGACACTTGCTGTAAGAAACTGACACTGAATGCAGTCCTAAGGAAAAACTCAACAACGAAGGGAATCAGCAGTGTGCCATATGTACAAGCATGCAAACACTAGTGCACCCCCTTAATCAGTAACCCAAGAATGCCTCCAACTTCAGAACCTTGCAGAGGTGCCAGAGACCCTTGAATAACTCAAGTCGAGGCACCCTCCATATTAGGCAGCCATTATGGAACGAACATTGAACCCTGTCAGGCCATGGACACAAAAGAGCACCTTGGGAAGGGCTTCTTTAGGTGAACAGTTTCCTAAGTTAACACAAGGCTTGTAAACACAATGTGAAGCATATAGTAAAAATTTTAATAATACGCAAGTAAATAAGCAAATGGGCCTCCCAGGGAGGCTCATATGCTATCTTGAGGTTATCTTGAGATGATTTCGGGGCTTTTTTTATAGTGTCCCCGCGGCCCGGTCTTTGACCAGGCCTCCACCCCCAGGAAGCAGCCCGTGACAGCTGACTAACACCCAGGTACCTATTTTACTGCTAGGTAACAGGGGCATAGGGTGAAAGAAACTCTGCCCATTGTTTCTCGCCGGCGCCTGGGAACGAACCCAGGACCACAGGATCACAAATCCAGCGTGCTGTCCGCTCGGCTCCCGTCCAGTAGGCTGTACTGTAGTAGGTCTCTAGTAGGCTTTTGAGGACTTACAAGGGTTGATGATGTTATAGATGTGGGGCTGTCTCAGTGGGGCTAGCTAAAGGAAGCTACCATTTAGCCCCTCCAGAAAGTTATATTGATGACAATTTCCTTGTTTATTTTCAATGAAGTGATAAAGATATAAAAGTTAAATTTTTTGTAGTATACTATACAATACTGTAAATACAAATGTTCACATTGATTCTCACGATGAATGAGTGTACATAAAGATGCAATTATAATGTGCAATGTAATCTAATGGTTTACATGGTACAGTTTATTCCATATAGAAAGATTTAAAAACAAAACATTTTACCAACAAACCTTTCTGAGCAAAGTGACCCCATAGATTTAAATGGCACCACTTTAGATCCTGTGGCACTACCTTGACACTGTGTGCTGGTAATCTTTGATGGTGACCGTGGGGAGGTTTGAGATATTTGACTAGAAGCATTTCCTTCAATGGTGTCACTGCTAGATAAAAAAGGTATCTTAGATGGTGAAGCTGATGTGGAACTTGGGCTCATGTTGTGATGGGGTGGGCGACATTTGCTCACGACCGTCGAACTGGACGCTAATAACGGAGTTTCCCGTGATGGATCCAAAGTAGTCATTCCCATTTCAACTTTTTCTTTAGCATCTCCTGTGGGAACTTTGCCAATGTCAGGATGTACACAGTTTGATGATTCATTTATCATTTCACAATTATCATGCAAAACATCAAGATCTTGCGTGGTAGCTGTCAGAGAAAATGTTCTTCTTTTCTTTTTTGCCAAACTTTGGGAATTATCATTTTCATCAGATTGTTTATGATGTTCAGTCTCATGACTAGCTGAAATAGATCTGGGGTTTCTTTTCCTACTCATTACTGACAATGATCTTGACAAAGACTTCACTGAAGATTTCAAGATAACACCCTTCTCAGGCACACAGTTGTCAACTTGATCATCTATGCAAAATGACTCTGTTTCTGAAGAAAATGGCAAAGATTTGACGAGTTTTGTCTCACCCTTTCCTCTGCATTTTGTGTTCATATTTGTCTTCAACTTTTGCAATAAATTTGGGGTTTTAACATTTTTAACCTTTCTTTCAGAAGACAACATTTTAGACTTTTCACATCTTCTCATCTTGATCACATTTTGTTTATGCTCATGTTGTTTCTCTTCTTCTTCTCGTAACTGAGAGACAATCTCCTTCAACTTCTTCACCCTGTCTTTTTTAGTCTGAGATGATGCTAGATGCTCTACATCAAAGTCCTGAGTTTCTTCATCAATAGTCATATTAGTCTCACCTGAAGACATGAGAGCGCTGGTGGAGTGCCCACAGGTTCCCCCCTCAGTCCTAGAGTCATTCATACTGCGCTGTTCACCTCCTGTTATGTTGAGGCTTGCCTGCCGAACTTTCAGATCTCTGCGAGCACCTTCGACATGTGACCATCCTGGAGATTTGGCATATTTCACACTAACCGAGACGGCAACAGTTTTAGACGTATCGATTAATTTTGATTTCATTTCCGAGGCATATCTTACATTATGAGAAGTTCTTGAAGGGATCTTTCCTGATGATCTGGTAGATGTTGATGGTGCCGACTCTTCAGAACCATGAACTTCACCACTTTTAACAGGAGCACTAGAATTGAACCTTACCTTTCTGCTTCTTACTGGGGCTTTTGGAGGAGGCATAGTTCTCTCATCTTTTGGAACCAGAGGTGAAACTGTTTTGTTATGCTGAGTATTTTCAAAAGTTTCATTCACTAGTAAAATATTTTCCCTCATTAGATTTTCTTTTGCTCTTTCGCTATTCTTCTTTTCTTCTTCTTCATCTTCAATGGACACAGTATGTAAATTGTGGTCTTCAATATCTTCAAACATGGAACAAAGAGTTTCGACTTCCTCTTTAGCTTTCTCTGCCTTGGACTTCATGTCTTTAACAGATTGTAATTTACTGCTACTATTGCAAACTCTACTACTATCATGAACAGTTTGCTTTTTGTTTGTTTTTTTGTTTGTTCCACTTTCATTATCACTTTCATCACTAGCTCTCTTTTTCACATTCCTCTTGACTTGAACTTTGCTGGCAGAATCAGTCAAAGGCATTTCATCCCCTTGAGCAGGAGTTATGAAGATAAGGTTAGCTTCCTTATCCTCTTCTACACAAGGGTTAACTGGAGGCTGGGAGGCATAACCTGCATTACACTGCCTACTACTCTCCTTCACTTCTGAAACAAGGACATCAAACTCATTCTTTGTGTTAACAGGACAACTATCTGGTATATCATCATCCTCCTCATCATGAGTACATACAATAACCGACTCAATTTGTTTTTCATGTGTTATATCCGTGCTTGTATCAGGTGGCTTGATAATACTAAGGTTGACATTTCGGTTAAGTTTTGCTCCTCTAGAAACAGGTGTACTGTGCTTCTGAATAGTTGAATTAAAACTTGTACTTGCATTAACAATGGTGTCATCAATTTTTCCCAATAGTCCTCGCATGTCTGGAATACCTCGACCTCTCCCTCGGCCTCTTAGACGTCCTCGTACTCGTCCCCGACCCAAATTCAGAGTCCCTCGAGCTCTGGATTTAGCTCCTTGACCTTGTTTTGCAACTATCTTTTTGTCTTTTGGTGTTTTCTGGCTGGGAATGAAATTGTAGGGATCACTTGGAGTTCCACACACATAATCAACTGGGTCAAATACCTGGGTTTCTACATCATTTTGAGGGTCATTAAGATCAGTTTCTGGGCTTCCTGTACTGCCCTTTGTCTTGAAAAACCTTTTAGATTCAGTGAAAGATGATGCTACACTACTCTCTTCACTCTTTTTGGTGGAAGACGAAGATGTTTTACTTGAAAAAAGATATTTTTTAATGCCCGTCTTAATACCAGAATTGTTTGCTTCCGACATCTGTGCAGAAGACTTAGGATTCGGAAGCAAAATATTTTTGGATGGGTTAAAAACCTGAGAAGATTCAGACTCTGTGTTGGATGTTGTATCTGTAGAGAGTGAGGCTCCAATTTGAAAACCAACCTCACTGCTGTTATGAAGCCATTTTGCAACTTTATCAGCTGGTTTTTCCTTACCCAATTTTTCACTAAGATGAACAGAGGATTTATCATCCTTGTTTATAGCTTTCTCTGGAGGAAATGTTGCATTATTAACTTGCTGACTCACTGACAAAAGCTCAATACCAGAACTAGCATTTACATCTTTCTTTCTCAAATATGTAGCAACAGGCTTTTTGTTGTCTTTGGCAAGTTTTCCCTGAATGGGTTCTTGGCTGTCTTTAACCACACTAGCAGCCAGTTTTGCTTTTCCTCTAAACAGGAGTCCGCTACCAGAACTACGCGCACCCCTTCCTCGGGTGAACGAGGGAATCAGACTCTTTCTCTCGAGAGGTTCTTGTTTAGTAGGAGACGAATACGAATGTTCTTGAGATATAACATCTACACTAACACGTTCTTTGCGGTCACTGATCCCAACATTTGGTTCGTGCGTCTCTGGCTTTCCATCTGTGTGAAGACTCAGTTCTGCAAATATTAACAAAGCATTAACTACCATATGTACATATATGTATGTACATAATTATTACAGTACTTGTATAATAAATTATTTACTTATATTATTTTACTACTCATACCATTAACAGAATTTTTTAATCAAAGAAGTTACTAAAGGACTGATAACATTAAATCCCAAATCAGAACTAGTCATTTTATATAACTCACCTTGGCCTCCATTGGAAGTTAATATTCTCTGTTTCACTGATCTTGCTCTAGGTTTAGGTATAGGGACTTCGGCGTTATAATGATCAGTTATGCCTCTTTTACGTGTCCCTCGTCTGGGTTCATCATTTTCTTCATTTTCAGAGTCGTCGTCCTCTGCGCTAATTACTGGACGAGGTCTTGGCCGGTATTTTGATGGAGTAACTGAAAAATGCATTAAAAACTCACACCAGTTTTCAGAAAACTTTACAAATACTATGTACTCTAGAATGTACAGAATTTACCTGAGGACCACTAGTGGCCTCAATGAGGACAGGAAGATAGCAGCTTGTCGAAGGTCCCCCCATTTGCCTTTATGATCTTTTCCAGGAGGATTTTAAAATTTAACACAGTTTTGGCATTTACAGCTTTGGCGGGTAAGTGTTTCCATGAATTTATAACCTTGCGAGTGAAAAGGCATCCCCTGTTCTCAGTCCTTCATTGTGGCTTGTTGAGCTTGAAACCGTTGCTCTTGTTTGTGTTCGATCTGGACTCTTGACAAAATTTTCAGAACCAACATCCTCTAACTTGTTTAATAATTTAAACCTTTAAACGAGATCTGCCCTGTCATGCCTGGTCTGCAGTGTTGTAAGCCCTGTGACCCTTAACCATTCCTTATATGAGAGATGACTTGACATTGGAATGATTTTTCTTGCCTGGTGTTGCACTTTCTCTAGAGCAGCTATGACCTTTCTGAAGATGAGGTCTTCATGCTTGGATACAATAATCCAAATGGGGAAACACCAGGGATTTATACAGTTGAATCATTACTTTCTTTTCCTTAAAGTCAAAGGTATGCTTGATTATTCCAAGGGTTTGGTTAGCTTTTCTGACTGCTGCTTCTACCTGTTGTGCAACTTTCAGTTAGTGGTGGATTTCGACTCCAAAGTTCTCTTCTTCATCAATCTGCTGTAATGTTATTAATGAGTAATTGTATAATTGCTCATTAATGAATTAATTGTATTATATAATTAATGTTAATAATGAGAATTATACACTGTACCTAAATTATATCACCAGGGGAATTTTGCGGCTCTGCAGATGATGAGTCACAATAATGTGGCTGAAGATATCGTTACCAAACTACACACCAGAAGATGAGCAGACAACAACATTTCGGTCCCTCCTGGACTATTATCAAGTCCACAATCGACCTGATAATGGTCCAGGACAGACCTAAATGTCATTGTCTCTTCATCGTCTCTGCAGCTCTGCTTACAGCTGTCCTGATAACTATTTTTTTTCTCACTCTTGTTGGGAAAAAATTTAAAAAACTGGCTTCCAACCTCAAAGAAAAATGTTACATTGGTTTATGTGAAGATGATCATTGCCCCCCCCCCCCTATATCTTTCTGAGCAAAACTGGCATTATTTGAACAAGGTCAGAGCATGGTCAATTCCTGTTTGATTCTGTAGTACACAATCATCAAACTCTGTTTGGTTGAAAGGCATTTCTATCAGGGTGAAATGTTCATAATAGTTATTTAAGATTCCACCAGAATTGAAATTGCTACTGTACTCTGTTGTACCTTCTAACAAGAGCACACAACAATGTTCATCTATAGAACACTGAACACGAAGGAAAAAATACTTGCCTACACAACTCATTTATGAGCCAGGTTTTCTAGACACATTTGGAAAAAAATAATTTAATAACATGTAACAAACCAATTCCATTTTTATTCTGACAAAGTATACACTTCATCTGTTTCTAATTAAGCCGGCAACAATATGGAAAATCACCTTAAACAAAAATTTTAAAGTGAGTTTAATAAGCAATGGAGTAAAATTTTAAGTCAAAATAAATATAAAACACATAATAAAAATAATGTAATAATACTAATAATAATCTTTATTCAAAAGTGTGTGTGTACAAAGAACATAAAGTACTGTACAATTGTAGAGACTGGAGTTACACATACTAATGAAGCCACTATTATGCAAAGCGTTTCAGGCAACATACTAGTTAAATAATGAAACCAACAGATCTGTAGTTAATTAAGCTACAAGATAATCATGAAACTCATACTCATAAAGCTGCCCGAACTATTAGTTAAACAATCTAAACTACAGTACGTTAAAATAAAAAACGTACAAAACAACATCAAACTTATTTCTAGACAAAATTTGTTACTCACCTTCAAAGGCGCAATCTTTCTTAATACTCTCGATAATCTTTCGAACGGCAGTTACAAGACTGGCTATTTTGTTATTCTGCCCTAGAGAACGGCGTGTAATATGGGCCATACACAAAGGGCACTGAGCGGAGCTGCGGGGCCCCTTCACCACTTGTTGGATACATTCCGCACAAAATGAGTGGCCACATTTTGTAGTTAGAGGAGTGTTGAGCAGATCCAGACTGAAACAAAAATACATTTCTGAAGGATAGGATAAATAAAATGACAGCGTTTAGCAATAATTTCAGTATCTGACACATGACATATAAAGGGAGCCGGTCGGCCGAGCGGACAGCACGCGAGACTTGTGATCCTGTGGTCCTGGGTTCGATCCCAGGCGCCGGCGAGAAACAATGGGCAGAGTTCCTTTCACCCTATGCCCCTGTTACCTAGCAGTAAATAGGTACCTGGGTGTTAGTCAGCTGTCACAGGCTGCTTCCTGGGGGTGGAGGCCTGGTCGAGGACCGGGCCGCGGGGACACTAAAAATTCCCAAAATCATCTCAAGATAACCTCAAGATGACTCATTTAAATTATGACTTTCACATTCCAATGACCCTAAAATGTGTGATCTGTACTCAGTGTAAACATTCAAATGACACTAAAATGTATCACCGGATTGTCACTCCTAAAACATTCATGTATTCATCACTGGCGTGCGTACTCTATTGTAAATACATTTTTTGCTTCTGTTCTCCAGAGAATTCATAGTAATTACCTAAGTGTAGTTACAGGATGAGAGCTACGCTCGTGGTGTCCCGTCTTCCCAGCACTCTTTGTCATATAATGTTTTGAAATTACTGACGGTTTTGGCCTCCACCACCTTCTCACTTAACTTGTTCCAACCGTCTACCACTCTGTTTACAAAAGTGAATTTGCTTATATTTCTCCGGCAGCTTTGTTTCGTTAGTTTAAATCTATGACCTCTTGTTCTTGAAGTTCCGGGTCTCAGGAATTTTTCCTATCAATTTTATCGATTCCTGTTACTATTTTGAACGTAGTGATCATATCGCCTCTTTTTCTTCTATCTTCTAGTTTTTGCATATTTAATTCCTTTAACCTTTGCTCGTAGCTCTTGTCCTTCAGTTCTGGGAGCCACTTAGTGGCATGTCATTGCACCTTTTCCAGTTTGTTGATGTGCTTCTTAAGATATGGGCACCATACAACCGCTGCATATTCTAGCTTTGGTCTAATAAAAGTCGTGAACAATTTCTTTAGTATTTCGCTATCCACGTATTTAAAAGCAATTTTGGGGGAAGAAAGTGTAGCATAGGCTCCTCGCACAATGTTCTTAATGTGGTCCTCAGGTGACAGTTTTCTATCTAGAACCACCCCTAGATCCCTTTCTTTGTCAGAATTCTTTAAAGATTTCTCACATAATTTATAGGTTGTGTGGGTTTATGTTCTCCAATTCCACATTCCATAACATGGCATTTGTTCACATTAAATTCCATTTGCCAAGTGTTGCTCCATATACTTATTTTGTCCAGGTCTTCTTGAAGGGCATGACAATCATCTAGGTTTCTTATCTTCCCTATTATCTTAGCATCATCAGCAAACATGTTCATGTAATTCTGTATTCCCACTGGTAGATCGTTTATGTAGACAATGAACATTACCGGTGCAAGAACTGAACCCTGTGGTACTCCACTCGTGACATTCCTCCAATCCGATACCTTGCCTCTGATTACGGCCCTCATTTTTCTGTCAGTTAGGAAATTTTTCATCCATGTTAGTAGCTTACCTGTCACCCCTCCAATATGTTCCAGTTTCCAGAACAACCTCTTATGGGGAACTCTGTCGAAAGCCTTTTTTAGGTCCAGATAGATGCAGTCAACCCAACCATCTCTTTCCTGTAAAATCTCTGTGGCTCGATCATAAAAACTGAGTAAGTTCGTTACACAGGATCTTCCAGATCGAAAACCATACTGTCTGTCTGATATTATATCGTTTTCCTCCAGGTGTTCTACCCATTTAGTTTTAATTATTTTTTCCAATATTTTGACTATTACACTTGTCAATGATACAGGTCTATAATTAAGGGGGTCTTCCCTGCTTCCACTTTTGTAGATTGGAACTATGTTAGCCTTTTTCCACACATCAGCTACAACTCCTGTACACAGGGATGCCTGAAAAATCAGTTGAAGTGGAATGCTGAGCTCAGGTGCACATTCTCTCAGAACCCATGGTGAAACTCCATCTGGACCAACTGCTTTGTTCTTACTTAGCTCCTTGAGCATTTTTTCCACTTCGTCTCTAGACACCTCTATGTGCTCTATGTTGTTCTCTGGAATTCTTATTGTGTCTGGTTCCCTAAAGATTTCATTTTGTACAAACACACTTTGGAACTTTTCGTTTAATGTTTCACACATTTCCTTTTCATTTTCCGTGAATCTATTTCCCATTTTCAACCTCTGAATATTATCCTTTACCTGCAATTTGTTGTTTATGAATTTATAGAATAGACCTGGTTCTGTTTTACATTTGTCTGCAATCCCTTTTTCAAAATTTCTTTCTGCCTCTCTCCTCACTGCCGTGTAGTTGTTTCTCGCATCTTTGTATCGCTGGTATGTTTGGGGGTTTGGCCTCTTCCTGTATTGATTCCATTTTTGTGTCTTTTGGTCTCTGGCCCTCTCGCAATTTCTATTGAACCAATCCTGTTTCCTAGTTCTGCATCTCTGTTTTGGTATAAATTTTTTTGTGCCTTTATCATATATTTCACAAAACTTGACATACATCTCATTCACTTCCTTGCCTAGCAACAAGTCTGTCCAATTATATTCACTAAAAAAAAATTATAAGGTCGCCATAATGTCCTCTCCTGAAGTCAGGTTTTTCAACTGCTTCAACCTCCTTATTTTCTGCCAGATTATAACGCATTGCATACTTTATTCCCAAAAAGACATGGTCACTTTTACCCAAGGGAGGAAGGTACTGAATGTCAAATATCTCTTCCTCCTTCCTGGTAAATATCAAATCTAGCATGGAGGGAACGTCCCCTTCCCTCATCCTCGTAGCTTGTTTAACATGTTGATACAAGAATGTTTCCAGGATGAGGTCTACAAATCTACAGGTCCAAAAATCTTCTGTTTTAGCTTCATATGCTTCCCAGTCTATGGATTTCAAGTTGAAGTCACCGACTATCAACAGTCGTGATCTATCGTTATCCGCTCTCGCTATAATCTCTCTCATTATTGTTATAAGACCTTCTCGTTTACTATCTAGCTCCTCCTTTGACCATGTGCTGCTTGGCGGTGGACTATATGCATTTATGATCATTAGTTTATCATCCTCATGGCAGATCTCTAGTGCTATTATGTCAACTTCTTGTGGATTGGCAGTCATTATTTCCTTCACCTTTAGGTGTTCTTTCACCAGCACAGCAACGCCACCGCCTTTCCTAATTTTTCTGTCCCGTCTCCAAATTGAGTAGCCCCTTGGGAATATGACCTCATTTAAAATAACATCTTCAAGTTTTGTCTCCGTGAGTGCAACAATGTCTGGTGTCTGCAGCTGTATTACATCACTTAACTCCAGTATCTTCGATCTCACTCCATCTATGTTGGTGTATGCAATCTTCAGGAACTTGTTCCCCCTCTCCTTATTCTTCACTCCCCCTCTCTCTATTGATTTTGTTGGTTTGCCTTTATGTACCACTTTACTGGTCTGCCTACCCCTATCACTTTGTAGAAAAAAGAATTGATTTCTTCTTCATTCCTGCTCTCATTTAAACGTTTTGCCTCGGCGAGGTTCAGTTTCAGCTTCTCTCTGTCTTCTTTTGAAAGATCTCGTCTTAACGACCACACTTTCCCATCCTCATCACTTTGTAATTTTCTAGCATTCCTTAGTACTTCTTCCATCTGTTTGGCACCGTTTAGGGTGATCCTCAAAGGTCGATCTTTCCCTTTTACGTATCTGCCTATTCTCCTGTAGTCGCACACATTCTCTATGGTAGTAAGACCTTCTACGAGGCCAACAATTTTATCTACTACTTTCGCTTCTTCTACAGCTCTTTCTGACCTAGATGTTATCTCCTTTTCTTTGCAATCAAAAATTATCAGGGACTTACTCCGATCAACTGTGTTTTGCACCAACTTCGGGTTAGATGCCAATTCCTTTCTCACTTCCAGCCTAATGTTTGTTTTATCTTGATTGCTGCAGTGTTTGGCTTCCTTTACTGCTTCTTCAATTTTTTCTTTCTCCTTGGCCACTTGTGCATAGGTGAGTTGCATATCTTTCTTGCACTGTTCTATTCCCTGTGTAACTTCCTCTATCTGTGCTGACAAAAGTTGTTTCTCTTCTTGAATTTCCTTACCTAACCTACTGTAGTCATTTATGTTTAAATTTACTTTAACTTCTTCCAAAGCTATTTTTAAGAGTTTATTTTCTTCTTCCATGGCTTTACAATTTGTTTCCAATAGATTTTTATCCTTGCACAAGTCTTTCACTATATCCTCAAGACATAAAACTTTGCTATTCAAATGGTCATTACTTTCTTTCAATTTACTAATTATTTCTACATGAGAGTTCACTATAGTCTCTAATTTTACCAACTTGTTATGTAGACTGCTGATATCAATGCTTTCTTCATTGAATCCCGCAAAATCAAGCTCTGTTTTGTTTTTCCTCTTGTCAGTGGCCATCTTGAATGTTCTTCTCTGCACTGGAAACACTAGGGCAACTTTTTCTCATCTGATTTTTCACTTTCCTTAGCACATTCCTGTTATCTATCCTATTTTTCAAAAGCACTATACCTTTATGTTCTCTGGGACACCACTCACTATCATCAACCTGTACTACAATACTTAGGATTGTTGAAATATGCTGGAGCTCCTCTGATGCAAGTGTTGACCCTAGGGGTGTCACCTTGATTCTCTCCCTCGCCACAATTACTCCTCCCACAATACTACGCACAGTGCTTATTATCACCACAATCCTGCTGTTATCACAATACTGGTCACTAAATCCTGTAAATACATAATTGACCACAAGTTTAATTTGTAAAGGAACCTATGAAGTCGTTTGAAGATTCCTAGATGGACGAAATAATGCTGTGGTGCTATGGCTAGCGCTGTAAACATCGTGTACAGCATTGAATCACTAATATTTGAACATTGTACACAGTCATTATCACACTCATGACTGTGTGCCGGTCGAAGACATGGGACGGAGCCGGTCGGCCGAGCGGACAGCACGCTGGACTTGTGATCCTGTGGTCCTGGGTTCGATCCCAGGTGCCGGCGAGAAACAATGGGCAGAGTTTCTTTCACCCTATGCCCCTGTTACCTAGCAGTACAATAGGTACCTGGGTGTTAGTCAGCTGTCACGGGCTGCTTCCTGGGGGTGGAGGCCTGGTCGAGAACCGGGCCGCGGGGACACTAAAAGCCCCGAAATCATCTCAAGATAACCTCAAGATAACCTCAGGCTCTTTTGCAAAATACTCTCATGGCTAAATAAAACAAGTTATATATATATTTTGACATTATTAGGCGATGTTGTGGTCACAAGCTTAACAGTGGTGCTGTGAGCTCATGCTGTGTGTGCCGGCCTTGGTTGCTCACTCACTACTGAAGCTCTCACACCCGGGAATGTGGACCACAATTTTTTTTAAAGATGGAGTCTGTTTACAAGAGCCCTGAGGAAGCCGATGTGAACCCCATGTAGCCGCGGGAGTTTTGAATGGAACGTGAAAAATACAAATACCCGGAGGCACGTAGCGCACCCCAGACGTGGGCCTGCAGGCGCGTTGCGCAGTTAAAGGGTTAAGAAGCTCCCTTTTGTTACCACATACAGTTTTTATGAATAATTATTAATTTACTTCTTAACACTTTCGCGCTATCTGGACGCGCCGGCGCGTCCCGTTTCGTCTAACGCTAACGCATAGTGGACATAAAGTTGAGTCCTCTTTTAAAATATTTGTATAAAATTCAATTTTTATCCGATTTACTTTGGGTTTGTTTCAAACTGCGCGCTATGAGGCTCTCTTTCTCACCACTAGGCTGCATGGTACAATAAGGTCATGAAAGGTGTGGATAACTTCGATCAAATGGTATTTTGTCCCAAACGGGTTGCAGGTGGGTGACTTTAGCCGTTTATACTGGTAATGCTTCCCCCATATCATGTATTATATGCATATGTCTGTTTAGGGAATTTTATTCCGATCAATATACAACCAAAAATAACTGTGTGCAACAAGTATAAACTTGACAAACATAACAAAAGTAAAAACATTTCGTGTGTGTTTGACGCTCACTGATATGTTCCAGCGTTGTTTTATATTTGGCGCTATTCTAACTTACGCTTTGTTGATATTTTTTACCTATGGGCACATAGAACATTCTATTGCGAACACATTGACACAAAAATGAATGACGTACATAGAAAATTAATGTCATGAGAGTGAAATAAGTATAAACTTTCAAAGCGCCGTGCGTCGTCCCGTCACCGATACCGGGTAACAATTTCACCACTTCCCACACTCTTGCGGGCGGGCCGCATCATTATTCTACGCTTATATTCATATCACCGTGTTGGGAATTTCATTGCGAGTCCATTGATACCAAAATTAACGCTGTAGAATAAGTGTGGAGGTGATTACAATCCCAAGAGTAAAAACATTTTGTTGCTGATGGGCGCTCACGGCGAGTCATCTTCGTAGTTATTTATTTGGTGCTGGTATCCCTATACGTTTCGTGACTTTTTTTACTGATGTTCTTCTAGAGAATTTTATTGCGAACACGTTGGTACCAAAATGAAATACGTAGCATGAGAACAAAGGTCAGAAGAGTAAAAAGAGTATACACATTTTTGTTTTTACGCTTAAGCGATAAAAACGCCGCGCGCACATTCGGTTGGCTGAGTGACCTTCGCGGAAAGCGCGAAAGTGTTAATGGGTGCCAGCGCAATTATTGAAATAAAGTGCTGGCACCCATTAACCACTGCACTGCTCTGCATTAAAATATGACACCCCCCGAGGTGCACCAAAAATAAATTCTTTCCAAAAGATTATTTTCTCTTCTTTATATTATTAAAATGCAGTCTCTGATCACAGGAAACTTAAAAAAAAAAAAATACTGTATGTGCCATACTTTAGTTGTGATGGAGCTGAGAAGTTGAGCAAATTATGGGTGCGAAGCGCTTTTGGACACTTGACCCCGTCACGCTGTGGGGCGGCAGTTGCCATGAATTATTATAATTTTTCACAATTAGTTTGATGTTTCTCATTCGTTTCTTCTCTGATTTTTTTTTTTGCTTTAATAGTATTCAAAAGTGTGTAATTTGTGGAATTTATATAGTTTGACGTGTGGAACATCTATGCTCAAAATTATGGGGCTCATATATGTGACATGTATATTATATTCTACAATCAATCAGTGTTTTTGCTGTTATTACACTCTATATACACATTGTACATACTGTACCTATCTACATTTTTGGGCACCACAATGAACCACAAAGATCGAGTGTTGAAAGTTTATATACACAGAACAAGAATTCAAGGTCAGCCTAGCAGCCGAGAGCTGAGTGTGGCGGGGGGCTGCCACAAATACATTTTTGCATAATTATTTTAGTATCTGTGAATGGATTCAAATCTAGTTTTTTGCAGTAGTAATATTCAAGTGTGTAATATATGGAATGCATATAGTTAAATGTGAGGAACTTAGCTATTCTAAAAAATATGGAGCTCATATACCTTGAGGTTATCTTGAGATGATTTCGGGGCTTAGCGTCCCAGCGGCCCGGTCTTCGACCAGGCCTCATTTTTGTTACGGGGGCATCAGGGTGAAAAATATTTTGCCCATTTGTTTCTGCCTCCACCTTGGATCGAACCCGGAACCTCAGGATTACGAATCCGAAGCGCTGTCCACCCAGCTGTTAGGTGTCCCTAACAGCTAACCCCCCTAATATATGGTGACACATATATATTATAATCTTAGATCTACCAGTGTTCCTGTTGTTATTACGCTATATACGTATGTTATATATCACTATCAACATTCGTATGCACCATAACATACTAATAAGCAGTTCTGGTGGGTATGGTGATGACATCAAAATACACCATGGAGCCACAAGCAGACGACACCAGCAGTCACATGATGCAAGACAATCCCTCCAAATATTCTAGTCATCTCGCTATGACTAGCTACAAAGCCGCTGTTATTATCACATTCCTGCCACAAAATCCCGAATATGAATCCATTTCCACAGCAAAATGAACATTGGTGACGGAACATAAGTTGTTTCATGATAAGTAGATGTAGGAAACAATGGCTGGCTGCTGTCTCTCCCTACTTCATGCTGTGAATATCATAACTAACATTGTGTTCACTGATATCTGAATGTTGTACATAGTCCTTATCACAGTCAGGATCATCTATAACACTATAAATGCAAAATAATTTCAGTTACTTATTTATTCATCATTTCTAAGTGGTGCTGTGGTCCCTAGCTGCACAGCAGTGCTGTGCACAGCTCCTTCATGTGCCAGTCTTGGTCATTCTCTCAGTACTAAGGCTCCCACAGCCAGCACGGATGCTGACGATTTTTTTTTCAAGATGGCGTCTGTTTACAGGAGTCCTGAGGCACAGGATGTGAGCCCCCGTGTACCCGCGGGAGTTTTGAATCACTCCCTATACCTAAAAATGCCCCATGGCACTCTGAGCACCCTTGATCCAGTGCCTCAAGGCGCTCTGCGCAGCGCATTAGTTAAACAAGACCTAATCTATTCAGCAATAGGCTGGATTGAGTGATCTCAATCTGTAAGAATGTACTGTAATTACGCATTACAATTTCTACACTAGTCATAACATGTCTCGCACGTCATACATTGCTACCTTTCCAAACAAGGTTTTAATTGCAAGTTCTATTTTTATGGTGCATAAAACATACATGAAACTCACCATATATTGCACTGCAGAGTTTTCTGCATGGCCTGAAGCACCGCATTCATTTGGTTGAGCCGATCCTCCATGTCACCCCATTACATTTTTACACAGCAAACCTATTAAGATAAAAATAATGTTATACAGTATTAGCAAAATAATAAATGAATGAGGCTTGGAGAATTAAATTATTTTAGACAAGCCTAAAGGTAGGTATTCAAAGGCTGTGTTATTCTAAGGCTGTGTAATTCTAAGGCTGTGTAAATCATTTGGTAGGTATTCTAAGGCTGTGTAAATCATTAGGTAGGTATTCTAAGGCTGTGTAAATCATTCAGTAGGTTTTCTAAATTATTTGGTTGTGTGTATACATGTACAGTATATGTGTGTGTGTGTGTATGTGGGTGAGGCAGAGGCAGGTGAAATATGGATTGCACGACCAGCACTGGAAAATCAGGCCGTTGGCACTCACAACACAATGAAGTCAATGACATCATTAGGAGGAACCTTGTCTCTGCCCTGTGTCCAGCAGAGAGAGAGCCTCGCAATCTATTGAACCATAAATCTGTTAAGTTTTGCTTGCCGACCAGAAGGAATTACACTGTGCCCATGGAAAAATGGCAGACAATTAGCGTGGAACTATACTTGCATATCCACCTTGGTAGCCATATGCATCAACCTCTTTGTCGGCCAAGTAGAAGCCGCGGCCACACACCCAGAAAGAGACAAATCAAGTACAGGAAAATAGATCAGCGGTACAACTTCATTCCAATAGAATCCGAGACCCATGCTCCATGGGGGAGAGGGTGGTTATCAGCTATATCTTGCTCTGGTTAGGCCCCATTTAGATTATGCAGTTCAGTTTTGGTCGCCGTACTATAGAATGGATATAAATTCACTTGAACTTGTCCAGCGTAGGATGACAAAGTTAATTCCCCAAATTAGAAATCTTTCATATGAAGAAAGATTAACAAAGCTTAACTTGCATTCACTGGTAAGGCGAAGAGTTAGGGGGTGACATGATAGAAGTTTACAAGTGGATGAATGGACATAACAAAGGGGATATTAATTAATTTAACACTTTCGCGCTAATTGGACTCATTTTTGAGTCCTGTTTCGTCTAACGCTAACGCATAGTGGACATAAATTTATGTCCTCTTTTAAAATATTTGTATAAAATTCAATTTTTATCCGATTTACTTTGGGTTTGTTTCAAACTGCGCGCCATGAGGCTCTCTTTCTCACCACTAGGCTGCATGGTACAATAAGTTCATGAAAGGTGTGGACCACTTCGATCAAATGGTATTATGTCCCAAACGGGTTGCAGGTGGGTGACTTTAGCCATTTATACTGGTAATGCTTCCCCCATATCATGTATTATATGCATATGTCTGTTTAGGCAATTTTATTCCGATCAATGTACAACCAAAAATAACTGTGTGCAACAAGTATAAACTTGACAAACATAACAAAAGTAAAAACATTTCGTGTGTATTTGACGCTCACTGATATGTTCCAGCGTTGTTTTATTTTTGGCGCTATTCTATCTTACGCTTTGTTGATCTTTTTTACCTATGGGCTCATAGAACATTCTATTGCGAACACATTGACACAAAAATGAATGACGTACATAGAAAATTAATGTCATGAGAGTGAAATAAGTATAAACTTTCAAAGCGCCATGCGTCGTCCCGTCACCGATACCGGGTAACAATTTCACCACTTCCCACACTCTTGCGGGCGGGCCGCATCATTATTCTACGCTTATATTCATATCACCGTGTTGGGAATTTCATTGCGAGTCCATTGATACCAAAATTAACGCTGTAGAACAAGTGTGGAGGTGATAACAATCCCAAGAGTAAAAACATATTTTTTTGCTGTTGGGCGCTCACGGCGAGTCATCTTCGTAGTTATTTATTTGGTGCTGGTATCCCTATACGTTTCGTGACTTTTTTTACTGATGTTCTTCTAGAGAATTTTATTGCGAACACGTTGGTACCAAAATGAAATACGTAGCATGAGAACTAAGGTCAGAAGAGTAAAAAGAGTATACACATTTTTGTTTTTACGCTTAAGCGATAAAAAAGCTGCGCGCCCATACGGTTGGCTGAGTGACCTTCGCGGAGAGCGCGAAAGTGTTAATTGGGTATTAAAAGTATCAACACAAGACAACACGAAACAGAGGGTATAAATTGGATAAGTTTAGATTTAGGAAAGACTTGGGTAAATACTGGTTCGGTAACAGGGTTGTTTTGTGAAACCAATTACCGCGTAACGTGGTGGAGGTGGGGTCCCTCGATTGTTTCAAGCGCGGGCTGGACATGTATATGAGTGGGATTGGGTGGTTATAGATAAGAGCTGCCTCGTATGGGTCAATAGGCCTTCTGCAGTTACCTTTATTCTTATGTTCTTATCTGATTTTGTGTTTGCCAAAGAGCAATTTTGAGATTACTGTATATTAAATAAATAATAAATAAATAAATATGTTTATTCAGGTAAGGTACATACATACATACAAGTGATGTTACATTAATGGATTGATATATAGATAGAGCTAGTACATACAAAGCCTAAAGCCACTATTATGCAATGCATTTCGGGCAAGAAAAACATTAATATCTAGAACTTAATACTAATTGAGCATAAAGATTAAAAAGTGTTGAGAACAAATACAAATAAAGATAAAAAAAAAAGGGGGAACATGACTGAAAAAGCAGCACAAATACAATAGGTTGACAGTGTTGATTAAAAAAAAAAAAAAAAAAAAAAAAAAAAAAATTACAGACATGGGTTGACAATAGAGGAGTGAGGTAGGTTACAGAGAATTTATTAGGTAGTGTTTAGTTTTTATCTTAAACTGGTTGAGAGAGGTACAGTCTTATACATGGCTGGGAAGGTCATTCCACATTCTGGGTCCCTTGATTTGTAGGGCATTTCTAGTTTGATTAAGTCGTACTCTAGGAATATCAAAACTGTATTTATTTCTGGTGTGGTGCTCATGGGTTCTGTTACAACCTTCAATGAAGCTTTTGAGGTCAGGATTGGCATTACAGTTCAGCATTTTATATATGTATAATACACAAGAGAGAATGTGCAGTGACTTAATATCTAACATATTCAGAGATTTGAGTAAGGGTACCGAGTGATGTCTGGGGCCAGAGTTGGATATTGTCCTAATAGCAGCTTTGTGTTGGGTAATAAGAGGACGTAAATGATTTTGGGTAGTAGAACCCCAAGCACAAATACCATAGTTGAGGTATGGATAGATGAGGGAGTAATAGAGAGTAACCAGGGCAGGGCGGGGTACATAATATCTGATCTTAGAAAGAATGCCAACAGTTTTTTAAACTTTTTTTGATATATTTAGAATGTGACCCTGGAAAATTCAGCTTGTGGTCGATGAGAACGCCAAGGAATTTGCCATCTAATTTGTTACAAATTTGGGTATTGTTTATTTTGAGATTTATCTGATTAGAGGATTTATTGCCAAACAGAATATAAAACGTTTTGTCAATGTTAAGGGTGAGTTTGTTGGCGGTTAGCCAAAGATGGACTTTCTCTAGCTCAGTATTTACTGTGGCATTTAGAGCAAGGGGGTCAGGACTGGAGTAAATGAAGGTTGTGCCGTCAGCAAATAGAATTGATTTGAGGTGTTGGGAGGCATTTGGAAGGTCATTAATGTAGATGAGAAAGAGGAGAGGGCCAAGTATGCTGCCCTGAGGAACACCAATGTTGATGGGTAGGGTGGGAAAAATTGTATTATTCACAGAAACATACTGGAGCCTGTCAGTAAGATAAGATTTGAGGTATTGCAGGGAGTGTCCTCTGACTCCATAATGATGTAATTTAAGAAGAAGGTTTTGATGGTTGACAGTGTCAAAAGCCTTACACAGGTCCACAAATAACCCAACAGGAAACTCCTTTTTATCAAGAGCTGCATGAATTAAGTTAATCATACTAATAAGTGCATCATTAGTGCTTTTTTTGGGTCTGAAGCCATATTGACAAGAGCTAAGTATATTGTGTTTGGCTAGAAAATAGTAAAGCTGCTTGTAGATTAGTTTTTCGAATATTTTTGACAAGTTAGGCAGGATTGATATAGGTCTGTAGTTGTTAACATCTGTGAGATCACCACATTTGTGGACAGGGGTTACTCTTGCTTTTTTTAGAATGTCAGGAAAGGTTTGGAGTTCAAGTGACTTGTTGAAGAGCAATGCAATAGCAGGGGCTAGAGATCTGGAGGCTTTTTTGTAAATTAAAGTTGGTATCTCCTCGAGGGCACTAGACTTGGTTTTAAGGGAAAGGATTATTTCATTGACATCAGTGGAACTAGTAGGCTTTAGGTACAGAGACTGTGGATAGTTACCTGTAAGATAGTCCTTAACATCAGTACAGGAAGATGGAATATCATTTGCAAGGGATGACCCAATGGAAGAGAAGAACCTATTGAACTCAATAGCAGAATCAGAGGCTGAAAGCTGACCAGCGTTATTGGAAAGGAGTGTTGGTTTGTTATTTAAAATCTTCTTTGATTATATATTATATATATATATAGTCTACCAAGGGCACCCGGCTGTGCCTGGGACTCTGTATCCTGTCTCACTTCTTTTATCTTATCCTTCCCTTGTCTCTCTCCTCCCACCTTTCCTTCCCTATCCCCCTCTCCTTCCCTCTCCATCTTTCTCACTGCTTTCCCCTTTCTACTCCAATCTCCTACCCAGTCTTTATCTCTTTGTCCCTCCCTCCCATTTTCTCTTCTTTGCACCCATTCTCTCTCCCTCCTTTTTCTTTCCTCCTCTCTCTCTCTCAGAACATACAATATAAACATCCAGCAAACATAAAACATAACCACAACATTATTTTTACTACTGTTATTTTGAAGCAAAGTTGAAAGAATGTTGAGGTTACGTTTTGTGTGATGAACAGGTAAAAAAAAAATCTGTTGAATTCACTCTATGGACACTCAAACGTACATGTCACACTTGATGCAAGTTACTGGTTGTTGCACATAGGAGCCAGTCCTACATGTGCAGCATGACAGTCGACCCCGACCCCCTATGACACACCCCATGCAATCACACATCACCATGCAAAGTTTCATGAGGCTAGCCATAGGTGTCTGGCCTCCAACCTTGGATATATATACAAACATTGTGTTGCATAGCTGTAGATAGGAGAGCATACATGTATTTACGTAACAATCTAGTTCAAACGACACAATTCACCCATAAGGTCAAATATGTATTAGTAACTGTGCAGTTTGAATGTACGTTCTTGACATATTATTCAAAACAGTTGACTATAGATAATTGCTTCATTCCGTTTCCTGGTCACCCGGACTGACAGATCAGACCTGTCAGGGTGTGGTCTTTTCTTATCAATACTCCGCTGTTAATGACAACTGGCACTATTTATCTCGCGTATCACTGCACGCTGAAGCTAACCTTGTTTCTGGGCCATGGAAACTGCCCTATAATAGCCCAAGGAGTCAATTCCTGTCGAAAACATGAGCAACGTTTCCCGCCAAAAGTTTCGTAACTCCTCGTTATTGGTGACGAGCACAATCAGCTGATGTATGATGCACGTCTCTAGTCTTATCACACTTATACCTACTAATCCACCTATTGCTAAAAGTTCTGTGTCTATTGACTAATAAGAGTCAATATCGACGGCGTGGAATTTGGCCAACTAACCTGGCAAAAAAATTAATCTGCTATATTCGCGGCGGCCGCTGCTGGCTGCCCATGGTAAACAATCTCAACTTATTTTATGAACTATATCGGCAGATTTTTTACCCACATTTCGCCATAGCTTTAATATTCTATATCTTTAAAAGACACACATTAAAACATAAAATAAAAAACCACATTGTTTTCCCACGTCAATTTGCGTAGAGGAATTTCACCAAAACTGTTCGTAAAGACATTGTTGGTGCCTGACGTCATCAGTGTCGTCTGTTGTGATAGTTGGAGGAGAAGAAGAAGCTGGTGATTAGACCATTACGCCACACCATGCAACTACCGCCACTATAGTAACCCGCTGTGAGTCGCCCTCCCCACACACCTGTACGGTGATCTTGGTGCTGTGTACGGCACTGATACTGGTGAAGGCGCTGAGTGCCGCCAGTGTCAAGGAGTAGTAATCTTGAGACAAGCTTGAGCGACTTTGGGGTGGTTGGTTGGTGGTAGGACGAGATGTTTCGCCTGTGTAATGTCGTCTGAATGTGCTCATATATATGTGTTTAATTGTCGTATTAATGTCTTGCTTGAAGAGGAATTTCATTACCATTATTTGTGGTCTGAATAAAGGTAGCCCAGATATGCCTTTTTAGCACTGGGAGGTCAGTGCTGCTCTATATGGTGTTGGATGTTTACCATGATTGTGGTAGGAATATTATACAGTATATAATGAATTATACGGTATTCATTGTATCTTGGTACCCTCAGTGTGGTGTTACAGTGGTGCTGTGGTGTTACCCTGCGGTTGTCGGGGTGGAATGCCACAGAAACGGAACTCCCCGTGAAGCTGTGGGGGGGGGGGGGAGAGGATGAGTGGTGTTTAAGATGTTTAATCAGGTAAAGGTATGTACATATGTTGAAAATGAGTTACAGACGTACTGGTGGATCTCTAGATAGAGCTAGTACATACAGTGCCTGAAGCCACTAATACGCACAGCGTTTCATTTAACGTTGATTGATTGATTCATTCAGCGTTACATTTACTAAAGTATCAAATAATTTATATGTTAAAGTATTTTACTGGCTGTTATATCTTACCTTTAATGGGGACTTGTTGGTATATGGAAGATGGTGAGGTTATCTTGAGATGATTTCAGGGCTTTAGTGTCCCCGCGGCCCGGTCCTCGACCAGGCCTCCACCCCCAGGAAGCAGCCCGTGACAGCTGACTAACACCCAGGTACCTATTTTACTGCTAGGTAACAGGGGCATAGGGTGAAAGCAGCTCTGCCCATTGTTTCTCGCCGGCACCTGGGATCGAACCCAGGATCACAGGATCACAAGTCCAGCACGCTGGACTTGTGATCCTGTGATCACCTGTGATCCTGTGATCACCTGTGATCCTGTGATCCTGTGATCTCCTCCTTCCCCCCCCCCCCCGCTGCTCAGCCGACCAAGGGGGGGGGGGGAAGGAGGAGAGGTGTTAGTGTTTAGAATGGGAGTTCTTCCATTATAACAGCAGTGATGACACTTCTAGGGTACTCTCTCCTACGTTTTGCAGGCATACCACTAGGACCTGGTTGTGGCTCACTGCTTGCTTGTCTTATTTAGAATCTGGTTGATACCTGGTTGATGGGGTTCTGGGAGTTCTTCTTCTCCCCAAGCCCGGCCCGAGGCCAGGCTTGACTTGTGAGAGTTTGGTCCACCAGGCTGTTCCTTGCAGCGGCCCGAGCACACAAAATGAGGTCAGTGGGAATAACTGGTAAAGTAGGACGCTGGATACTCGATTACCTGTCCAACAGAACACAAAGAGTAAGAGTCAATCAAATAAAATAGAGTTCAAGTGTAGTTAAAAGCTCTGTACCTCAAGGTACAGTCCTTGCACCACTGCTGTTCCTTATTCTCATATCAGATATAGACAAAAATACACGTCACAGCTTCGTGTCATCCTCTGCAGATGACACAAAAATCAGCATGAAAATTACCTCTGCTGAAGACACTGAAAAATTACAAACAGATATCAACAAAGTTTTCGATTGGGCAGCAGAAAAAACATGATGTTTAACAATGATAAATTTCAGGTACTCAGGTACGGCAAAAATGAGGATCGGAAACATAATACAGGGTACAAAACACAATCGAATCTGCCCATAGTAGGAAAACAGCATGTCAAGGATTTGGGAATAATAATGTCTGACGATCTAACGTTTAGGGAGCATAACCAAGCAAATATCGCGTCAGCCAGAAAAATGATCGGATGGATTACGAGAACTTTCAAATCCAGGGATCCCATCACAACGGTTGTACTCTTCAAGTCACTTGTGTTGTCTCGTCTCGAGTACTGCTCAGTACTCACTTCCCCCGTCAGAGCAGGAGAGATAGCTGAAAAAGAGGGAATACAGAGAACATATACGGCATGCATAAACGAGATAAAATACCTAAATTATTGGGATCGTCTCAATGCTCTCCAAATGTACTCTCTAGAAAGGAGACGAGAGAGATACCAAATAATATACACATGGAAAATACTGGAGGGTCAGGTCCCAAATCTACACAGTAAAATAACAACGTACACTGGAGTGAACGATATGGAAGAAAATGCAAGATTGAACCAGTGAAGAGCAGAGGTGCCATAGGCACAATCAGAGAGCACTGTATAAACATCAGAGGTCCGCGGTTGTTCAACGTCCTCCCAGCGAGCATAAGAAATATTGCCGGAACAACCGTGGACATCTTCAAGAGAAAACTGGACTGTTTTCTAAGAGAAGTTCCGGATCAGCCGGGCTGTGGTGGGTATGTGGGCCTGCGGGCCGCTCCAAGCAGCAGCCTGCTGGACCAAACTCTCACAAGTCGAGCCTGGCCTCGGGCCGGGCTTGGGGAGTAGAAGAACTCCAAGAACCCCATCAAGCAGGTATCAAGCAGGCAGGCCCACATACCCACCACAGCCCAGTTGGTCCGGCACTCCGTGGAGGAAACTATCTAGTTTCCCCTTGAAGGTGTCCATGGTTGTTCTGGTAATATTTCTTATGCTCGCTGGGAGTATGTTGAATAACCGCGGACCTCTGATGTTTATACAGTTCTCTCTGTCTAAAGAAACTTGTTTTTCCGTGTATTTTAACATTTGTCTGTAGTGAGACGTCATATTGTCATTAAGGAGGTCAATGCAACAGCCTGCTACAGCACTACCTGGGTGAGTTTTTTCAACAAAACTTTGCAGTTCTTCCCATTCTTCACACATTGTCTTAATGAGGAAGGGACATCATCTGCTGCTTCTACTCACAACAATTTTTTAGGTTGAACTTTACCCATGACGTTCTTGGGACCCATGGCATGATATATAATAATTACTTTTATGCTCAGAAACCAACCAAAAAAGCACCAAAACAATTAAATTCTTCACAAAAAATTCAAGCACGATCATCACTAGGTGAGAGACACTAGTAAACCAAAGCATGCCTCGCCTGTGCCACCAGGAACCACGCGCTCGGTCGACCCATACGTGTACCAATAAACTCGCCAAGCGAGACAAAGCTTGTACAGTGGCACCTCGATTTACGATAATTTCGAGTTACGGTGTAAATTTGATCGAAAAATGCGACTCGACATACGATGGTGTCGTCTACCAACGATATTTGTTGGTACACGTTTGGGTCAACCGAGCGGGTGTTCCCGGGCACACGGGCCGACCTGCCTCAGTTTACTACAGCTGCCCGCTTAGTGACGATCACGTCTAAAAGAAATTCCATTTTTGTGGTGATTTTTTGCTTTTTGAACATAAAAGTAATTATTATATATCATGCCATGAGTCCCAGAAAAGTCAGTGGTAAGGTTCAACATATGAAAACCCATGTAAGGATGACCATAGAGCAAAAACAAGAGATCATTCGTAAATATGATGATGGTGTGCGGGTTATTGAACTAGCTAGGCAGTACAACAAATCTCGGTCAACGATATCCACAATACTGGCTAAGAAAAAGGACATTATGAGTGCTAAAGTGGCAAAAGGCGAATCAATAATCACAAAACATAGAACACAAACACTTAAGGATATTGAACAATTATTATTAATTTGGATACACAGCAAGGAGTTAGTGGGTGATAGAGTTTCAGAGGCCATCATTTGTGAAAAAGCAAGGAAATTACATGAAGACCTTTTAAAGAAAACCCCTGGAACCAGTAATGCAAATGTGAAAGAGTTTAAGGCAAGCAGGGGATGGTTTGAGAAATTTAGAAAAAGAAGTGGCATTCATAGTGTTCCGAGTGTTGTGTGTTGCGAGCTGGTGGAGGAACACAGCGGAGAACTGACCACTGAAGAACTTTACAAGGAGCAGCAACAAGAGACAACTGACGAAATTTCTTCAAGGGAGGAGGAGACAGTATAGAATGTCCCTTCCTCATTAAGAAAATGTGTGCAGCATGGGAAGAATGCAAACTTTTGCTGACACGACTCGCCCAAATCACGGTGCAGTAGGCCGTTGCCTAAACCTTTTTAATGACACTGTGATGTCTCACTACAGACAAAAATTAAAACACATGGAAAAACAAAAATCTCTGGAAAGGTTTTTAGTGAGACAAACAAGCAGTGAATCACAACCAGGTCCTAATGGTATGCAGGCAAAATGTAGGAGAGTGTGTACCCCAGAGAAGTTATCACTGCCTGATGTTATAATAGAAGGGAACTCCCCTTCCAAACACTAACATCTCTCCTCCTCCCCCCCTCTCCTCACCATCTTCCATATGCATCATGAGCCCTCCATAAAGATAAGATAAACATATGCACTGTATTGTAGTTAGAAAAAACATTGTACAGTATTCAGTATAATATGTATTTGTAAGTTAATATTTTGGAGGGTGGGGAATGGATTAATTCAATTCCCTTCATTTTTTATGTGAAAAATCGCTTCGACTTATGATATTTCGACTTACGATCCGTCTCTGGGAACGGATTACCATTGTAAGTCGAGGGCCCCACTGTATACCGAGTTGAATTTTACAAAGAAAATTCAAATTTACAAAGAAACTGAGCTCGTATACCGAAAAATTCGAAAAGAGGGGCATTCATCAACCAAGGTTCCACTGTATTATGTAGTGAAGATAAAAGATGAGAAGTGGGACAGGGAAGGAGGAGGGTCAAGGGAATAAGCAGGACTATGAGGGGAAGAGGGAGGAGGGGTAGAGAGGAGAGCAGAACAGGAAGAGGGGTAAAAGGGAGAGCAGATTGGGAAGAGGGGTAGAGCAGAGGGGGGGAGGGGAGGGAGGGGTAGAGCAGAGTGGGGGAGGGGAGGGAGGGGTAGAGCAGAGTGGGGGAGGGGAGGGAGGGGTAGAGCAGAGTGGGGGAGGGAGGGGTAGAGCAGAGTGGGGGAGGGGAGGGAGGGGTAGAGCAGAGTGGGGGAGGGGAGGGAGGGGTAGAGCAGAGTGGGGGAGGGGAGGGAGGGGTAGAGCAGAGTGGGGGAGGGGAGGGAGGGGTAGAGCAGAGTGGGGGAGGGGAGGGAGGGGTAGAGCAGAGTGGGGGAGGGGAGGGAGGGGTAGAGCAGAGTGGGGAGGGGAGGGAGGGGTAGAGCAGAGTGGGGGAGGGGAAGAGCAGAGTGGGGGAGGGGAAGAGCAGAGTGGGGGAGGGGAGAGAGGGGTAGAGCAGAGTGAGAGGAGGGGGAGAGCAGAGCAGAATCGGAGGTTCGTATCTTGGTTATCTTGAGATGATTTCGGGCGTAGCATCCCCGTGGCCCGGTCCTCGAGAGACCTCCTGTTTGTTACACATCCCCAGGAAACAGCCTGTAATAGCTGTCTAACTCCCAGGTACCTACCTATCTACTGGTAAGTGAACAGATGCATCAGGGTGAAAGAAACTCTGCCCATTTGGTTCCGCCTCCACAGGGAATTTTCCCCGGAACCTTAGGAATACGAATCCGAAGCACTGTCCACTCAGCTGTCAGGCCCCCTCTCTGGCAGGCCTTTCGAGGAGGGGGTGAACAGAGTAGGAAGAGGGGTAGAGAGGAGAGCAGAGTGGGAGGAGGGAGGAGGGGAGAGCAGAGTGGGAAGAGGGAGGAGGGGAGAGCAGTGGGAAGAGGGGTAGAGAGGAGAGGAGAGCAGAGTGGGAAAGGGGAGAAGAGAGAAACAAAAATTCAGGCACCACTAAGGTCCCCCCCCCCCCTCTATATGTAGATATACTGTAAATGGAAATTGTATGTCTGTTCAATGTTAGTGGCCAAAGGTGGAAGAGGGAGACAGGAAAGGAGGAGGAAAAGAGAAAAAAGGAATTATAAAAAGAGGAGTGGAGAGGGTTGGGAGAAGGGGGAAAATTAGAGAGAAGAGGGGAGGGGGTAGGAAAGGAAGGGGGGGGGATTAAGGGGAATATGGAGGAGATAAGACAGAAGAATAAAGGGGGGGGTGAGAGAGAGAAACTATCCCAGGCACTGTCAGATACATCTAGTGCTATATGTATAAAAAGTCTGGAATATAATTGCCTTGGTTTAAGGTGCGAAAATAAAATTGGTGTACGGTGAAACACTATAGGGAGACCGCACAGGTTTTTGATGTGATAATCTGGCAATATAGAGCACCAGACAAGTATTAACTGTCACACATCACATTACTGTCTTCTGATTGTAGCAGGTGAAATTACTTAGCATGCACTTCGAATGAATTAGATATTACCCCACACTATTTGATAAATGCTTTAACATACAATAATTTTACTTTTAACTGTTAATTACATTTAGAATGCATCAAAGATGCCAATTTCCAATGGCTTAATTATATGAGAAGTGGGTTATTAAACTGAAATATGACTCAAAGATAAGAGTGATGATAAGTGGTATGGTATCTTCATGACAAAGAATTTCTGATAATGCATTTAGCTTTGTGATGGGAATCTCTTGAATGTTAAAGACAAAAATAATTTGATAACATTACAGTACATTTTGAGGTGTTACTGAGTACAGTATTGTAGAGTAAAATGGCTCAGAATTTATGGCAAGAAATAAAGGTAAGGCTTTTAGACTCAGATGAGTCATGTAAACTATGACACTTGCCTCGTGGACTCTGGTTGAAATCTAAATCAGAATACAGTAGTTTTAAATAGAGTAATTTAGTTCATTTGTTATGCACCCCATACCCATCTTATGGGCTACATGCCCAATGTTTCAACATACCCATTGTTCAGGAACTGCTTTCTCTGTAATTAAGGAAGTTTTAACGTTGTTTATAATGGTTTTCTTGCACTTCTGTGTATGTGGTTTGCTTGAGGTCTGCCATTCAGCTCTTAATCATTCACTGGGTGGGTGGATACTATGATCACTATATTGATAATATAGGCAATATAGAGCCTATATATTGGTCACAAGTCGAGCCTGGCCTCGGGCCGGGCTTGGGGAGTAGAAGAACTCCCAAAACCCCATCAACCAGGTATATTGTTTGCTTCACATTTTTTTGTCAATTGCATATAGTTTTGTGCATCTCTTCACCAATGTAAAGACTACAAAAAAAAATTAGAAATGTTATGTGTATTAAGTGTGCTTTCAGACTAAACGACTATGATCATGGATAAGAAATGAAGACAAGCTAAGAATTATTGTTTAGAAATTTGGTGAAAGGTCTAGCATGAGTACTCGGAAAAATGTCAATTATTGACAGTGTTGCTGATTTGCTAGCCATACAATACGATAACGCTCTTCCCCACTGTCTTGGAATTACATTTTCTTTTACATTTCTGCTGCAATTATGTGCTACTGCTGCTATGCAACCTGTTCTCTAATAAATCACTTTAACTGAATTTACCAATCCATCAAAATTGTGATGGCTTAGTAAAATACTGTACAAGCATCATAATTTTAATGTTTTGTGAACATTAACTTCAATAGGTTAAGGGTTTTTTGCTTAGGTTTGAACATTTCTGATCAGGTAAAACAATTGCATTTTATGCAGTGTCTTGAACCATGAGAATGGACTTGCCATATTTATGCATTGTTGAAGTCTGTTAATACTTTTGGATTTGCCTTTATTTTTCCTAGGCACTTTTGTTATACCTTCCAATAGATTAGTTTATTTTTTAATTAGAACCTTTGTGTGACTGTTCTAAGGCAATTAGTTTTCATCTTGATTATTATTTGTCATTGTAGTTAACTCTGGAAGCTTTTTAACCCATCTCAACCTGCAGTGATCTAAATTTATCATTGACTGTACCATATCTTTAGCAGGTACAAGTCGGTCTTTGTTGCTCTGTAGGCCATTTTTGTCTGTTCCATCCTTTAAAAGCTAGTTAATTTCTTAGATTTCTATCTTATTTAAAACTTGATCCACAACTCTTGGAAAGAGAGGTGATTAGTTACTATAGATAAATTCCATACTATCAAATGTGACCTATCCTAGCAACCCACCTCATGTCACCAAAATGGGAAAGGTCTGAGCTAGGTTACGCATTGGCCACACAATTAACTCGTGTGCACATAGTAGAGGAGAGACCTGCACCATACTGTCAGAACTGCTTTGTTCCAACAATAGTTAATATAATAATAATAATAATTTTATTGTCAGGGGACAGGCAACCAGTGTATATATAAATATATATATGTTAGGCTTATATTGAGGTCGAATTACTTACCGTCCTCAGGATGCAACCCCGCAACAAGCTGACTAACTATCTTGGGTACCTATTTACTGCTAGATAAGTAGGAGGCATTAGGTGATAGAAAACATGCCCAACCATTTCTGTCTCGCCCAGGATTCGAACCCGGAATTCCCGATTATGAGTTGAGAACGAATCCAATTGTACTGCTTGTTCAATGTCATTATATTTTGCTTTCTCACTCTTCCTTTGGGCCATGTGTCAGTCTGTGACTCTGACTTTTTTGACATCACTTGTTGGAAGTCTTTCTGCTCTTGTGTTGGTTTCCTGAAAAAAGTCTAGAAACTTGTGATTACCCTTTAATAATTACTAGACGGGTAAAGTTGTAAAATATACTTACTCCCCCCCCCCCCATGTCCTAAATGTGAATTATAGTTGGCTAAAGAACTTATGGTAGCTTAATGCTAGTGTGTTAAGAATTTTAGGTGATCATATTTCATTCTGAGTTATAAATAAATAAATTTGTCACAATTTTTATTTATTTCCCCAGTTTGGTTTATCGTAATGTATGGTACCTGATATGTAGTGTAGGTGACAAGACATAGTTCTTGGATTTGGCCTAAAATCTCTTGGGAATATCACCTTTTCCTGATTGTTTCCCTTCAGAAAAAGTCAGAGGGCTAGTTTGGTAGAGAATAAGGAAGTTGATAATACTTTGCATGCTGGATTGTTAGTAGACCTGGGATGCTTCTTTTTATTTCTGTAAAAGAGTGTAACCATATTTAATTAATGCTAATTTTTCAGGCTGCAACCATGAGTGGACGAGACGGCAGCCCAAAAATTTCTCTGGCACTGCTGAAAGGCAGAGCCACAAACCAGAGTGTACCAAGCATTAGCTTTAGATTTAATTCAACAGCAGAAAACATCACGCAAGTTTCTGATCCCGAAGAAGGTTGGTTGAACTAAAGTTCCTTGATATAATTAATACCTAGTACAATATTTGGTTATATACTCTATTAATAATATTGCTTTTGGTGTTGAACTTAAAATTTGTGCAATTAAATCCCAAATGAAAAGTCCTGTGGTTGATTCTTGTGGCAGGACAAATGTTTGGGCACCTGGAAGTTGGGTAACTTTTGTTGGGTGTATCTTAGGAAAGGTCAGTAGTTGGCCTAATGGGGAATATGGATAAGTCTAACAATGGGAAACCTTATTTGCATGCATGTGTGTTCAAACATTGGGCTAGTGTGTGACATGAAGAAAATGGGTTAGTCCAAGACAGGTTACTGAAAAAGGGTCGAATCGGGGAAAGAAAAGTACTGAATGAGCCAGAGATACCTGAAGGGAGTGAGTGAAACGGGTCTTGCTGATCACATTATCAAAAAATCCTGGCCTCCATAAGGGGGTGGGAGAGTACCAAAAACATTTCTGGAGGCATTCTTTAGAGAGAATAAGAGGTGGAGACAAACTCTATTCGTGATGTAGTGTAAATATGAAATGATCTATACCAGAAGTGGGAGTGGTTCATCATTAATACTTAGGCAAGTGTATACCTACACACACGTAGTTACACATACTCGGACATACACAGCTACGAGGAGAGGTTAGAGGCATTAATATGCCAAGATTAGAAGATAGAAGAAAAAGATGCGATATTTATTAGGAAAAATTCCTGAAACCTGGAACTTCAACAACAAGAGATCATAGATTTAGCTAACTAAACGAAGCTGCCGAAAAAAAATCACTTTCGCAAAGAGTGGGGTAGATGGATTAATGACCATAATTTCATTTCCTCATCACTTTGTAATTTCATAATGTAATTTCATAACATTCACTAGTACTTCTTCCCTCTGTTTAACACTGTTTAGGGTGATCCTCTAGGGTTGATCTTTCCCTTTTTTGTATCTGCCAATTCTCCAGTAGTTGCAGCCATTATCTTTGGCTGTAAGACTTTCCACTAGCCCAACAGTTTTATCTACTACTTTTGCTCCTTTTGTAGCTTTTTCTGACAGATGTTATATCCTTTTTTTTTTTTTTTTTTAACCAAAAATTAACAAGGACTTGTATTGACTGTGGTTTGCACCAGTTTTGGGTTTGATGTCATGTCTTCCTGTCTAATGTGTACACTTTTTTGATTCCTGCAGTTTCTGGCTTCCTTGACTGCTTCTTCTATTTTTTCCTTCTCCCTGGCCACTTGTACATAGATGAGTTGTATGTTCTTCCTGTGCTGTCCTATTCCCTGTGTAACTTCCTCCATATATACTGACAACAGTTGTTTTTCTGTTGGATTTCCTTACCTAACCTATTGTGCTCATTCATGTTTAGATTTGTTTAAATTTCTTTAAAGATATTTTCAGCACCTTATTTTCCTTTTCCATGGCTTTCCTTTTAGCTTCCCAGGGATTCTTGTCCTTGCATAATTCTTTCACTGGCCTTTCAAGTTCAAATCCTTGCTTTTCAAGTAGTCATTACTTTCTTTCAAGTTCCTAATTATTTCCACACGATTGATCACAAAAATATAAAGTTTTGCCAACTTGTTGTGCAGACTACTCGTATTAACTTTCCTCATTGAATCCACCAAACTTCAGCTCTGTTAGTTATTTTTTCTTGCCAGCGGCCATCTTGAATTTCGTCATCTGCATTGTTTACAATGTGACACCATATGTTTGATCTCGCCTATTTTTCAAATTCACTACACATTTCATTCTCTTGGGACTCCACTCATGGTCATGATGCAATTACAGGATAAGAGCTACGCTCGGGATGTCCCTTCTTCCCAGCACTCTGTCATATAATGATTTGAAGCTACTGACGGTTTTTGCCTCCCGCAGCTTTCTCACCTAACTTGTTCCAACCGTCCACCACTCTAATTGCCAAAGAAAACTTTCTAATATATTTTTGGCACCTTTGTTTCCTTAGCTTGAATTTATGGCCACTTGTTCTTGAAGTTGCCGGTTTCAGGAATTCCTCTTTGTCAAGTTGGCCAACTCTTATTACATGTACAGTGTTTTGTAAGTGACATATCACCTCTTTTTCTTCTATCTGTGGCATAGTTAATGCCTCTATCATCTTTTCACAACTTTTGTTTTTTAGGTCTGAAAGCCATTTTGTAGCATTTTCCAGTTTATTGATGGGCTTCTTGAGATATGGGCACCATATAACTGCTGCAAAATCCAATTTTGATCTCACAAGTCATGAAGAGTTTCTTTAATATTTTACCATCCATGTAATAAAAAAGCCATTCTGAAGTTGGAAGCACAGCATATGTTCCTTGTACAATGTCCTTTGTGTTCCTCTGGTGACATTCTACTATCCAGAACCACTACAGTACCAATTCTACTATCCTAGATTTACATGAATTACTGACATAGCTAGTGTTAGCTTAGGTTGGTTAGGTAAGAATAGGTTTCGTAATTTTTATTTTTTTTTATTTTTAACTCGGCGTAAGAATTTTTTAAAATCATATACAGTATAGTGGTACCTCGGCTTATGAGCACCCCTGGTTATGAGTTTTTCGGGTTACGAGCAGGATTTGCTCGGAAAATTTGTATCGAGATACTGTACGAGCATTGCCTCAGGATATGAGGGTGTTGATACGCATACGGGCCGACCTAGCTCATGGTGGCACGGCGATTGCCGCTCAGTTTACCAGTGTCTTGCGCCCAGTGATTATCCCGCCTGAATTCTTCACAAGAATTTACCGTTTTTTTTTTATTTTTTTCTATTTGAGCATAAAATTTATTATGTGTGTGTATTGCAATGGGTCCCAAGAAAGCCAGTGGTAAGCTTCAAGGCAAGAAATCGCATTTGAGGATGACAATAGAGGAAAAGCAAGAGATCATTCGGAAGCATGAAAATGGTGCATGTGTTGTTGAACTTTGTAGGCAGTACAACAAATCCATGTCAATGCTATGCACTATACTTGCCAAGAAAAAGGACATTATGAGTGCAAAAGTGGCAAAAGGAGTATCAACAATCACAAAGACCACAAATACTTGAGGATGTGGAAAAGTAGTTGTTACTTGGATACACAACAAGGAGTTAGTGGGTGATAGTGTTTCAGAGGCCATTATTTGTGAGAAAGCCAGGGTATTGCATGAAGACCTTGTAAAGAAAACCCCTGGAACGAGTGATGCAGATATGAAAGAGTTTAAGGCAAGCAGGGGATGGTTTGAGAAATTTGGAAAAAGAAGTGGTATTCATAGTGTTGCGAGGCATGGGGAGGCTGCCAGCTCAGACAAACCAGCGACTGAAAGATTTATTGAAGAATTTAAAGAGTTTGCAGAAGCTGAGGAATACCTTCTGCAACAAGTCTTTAATTGTGATGAGACGGGACTGTTCTGGAAAAGATTGCCTAAGAGGACATACATTACCAAGGAGGAACGAGAAAAATCATTGCCCGGACACAAGCCTATGAAAGATAGGTTTACGCTTGTGCTGTGTTCAAATGCGAGTGGCGATTTGAAAATTAAACCCTTGCTAGTGTATCATTCTGAAAATCTAAGGGTTTTCAAACAGTATAAAGTGCAGAAAAACCAAATGTGTGTGATGTGGAGGGCTAATAATAAGGCATGGGTGACTAGGATCTTTTTTTGGAGTGGGGTGAATGAAGTGGTGTGCCCTGCCATAGAAAAATATCTGCAGGAGAAACATTTGCCACTCAAGGCCCTGCTTCTCCTCGACAATGTTCCTGCTCATCCTCCAGGCTTGGAAGATGAATTGTTGCACAGATACAGTAAATTTCTCACAGTAAAGTTCCTTCCTCCTAACACCACTCCTCTAATTCAGCCTATGGACCAGAAAATCATAGGGAATTTTAAGAAACTTTATGAAAGGGCACTTCTCTGGAAATGTTTTGAAGTGACTGAAGCTACAAAATTCACCCTCAAAGAGTTCTGGAAACACCATTTTAACATTTGTAGTGCTTTAAAACTCGTTGACAAAGCCTGGCAAGAAGTGACTTGAAGAACCTTGATCTCTGGCTGAAGAAAATTGTGGCCTGAATGTGTGACAGAACTAGACTTTGGGGGGTTTGAGCCTGGAAATGATGTGCCTATTGTTGAGGAAATTGTTACTCTGGGCCAGCAAATGGGCTTGGAATTGGATGGTGATGATGTGGAGGAGTTGGTGGAAGAACACAACGAAGAACTCCAAGCCCTTCAAAAGGAACAGCAAGAAGACACAGCTGAGGATGTTTCTCCAGTGGAGGAGGATGAGGCAGTACAGAATGTCCCTTCTGCAACCATTAAGAAGTGGTGTCAGATGTGGGAAGAAATGCAAACTTTTATTGAAACGACTCACCCAGAGAAAGCTGTAGTAGGCCGTTGCATTAATCTTTTCAGTGACAATGTGATGCCTCACTACGGAGACATCTAGTGAAGAAGGGAAAACAATCATCAATGGACAGCTTTGTTGTGAGAAAATCGAGCAGTGAGCCACAACCAGGACCTAGTGGTATGCAGGCAAAACATGCCAGAGAATGCACTCCAAAGATGTCCTCACTGCCTGATGTTATAATGGAAGGGGGACTCCCCTTCCAAACAGTAACACCTCTCCTCCTCCCCCCTCCTCACCAGCTTCCATATGCCAACAGGAGTCATCAGCAAGGGTAAGTAATATCTTGAACATAGTTTTGTAGTATAGATTTTGATGAATTAGATATAAAATTTAGTTTGAAGTGAGGATTTTGGGTAGTCAGGAACGGATTAATTCATTCCCATTATTTCTTATGGGGAAATTAGCTTCAGTTTACGAGATTTCGGGTTACGAGCTGTCTCCTGGAATGGATTAAACTCCTTAACCGAGGTACCCCTGTACAGGCACACCTCAGTTTAAGAGTTTAATTGGTTCCTGGAGACGCCTCGTATTCCGAAAACTCGCATTCCGAAGCTAATTTCCCCATAAGGAATAAAGGGAAATGAATTAATCCGTTCCTGACTACCCCAAAAACCCCACATCAAACTAAATTTTTATACCTAATTCATCTAAATAAACCTACAAAACTATGTTCCAGTTATTACTTGCCTTGCTGTTGAATGCTGTAGGCGTATGGAAGATGGTGAGGAGGGGGGAGGAGGAGAGGAGTTACTGTTTGGAAGGGGAGTCCCCTTCCATTATCACATCAGGCAGTGAAGACCTTTCTGGTGTGCTCTCCCTGGGACGTTTTATCTGAGTGCCACTAGGTCCTGGTTGAGGCTCACTGCTCGATTTCTTCACCACAAATCTGTCCAAACCCTGGCTTTCTCACAAATAATGGCCTCCGAAACACTGTCACCCCTTAACTCCTTGTCGTGTATCCAAATTAATAACAACTTTTCCACTTCAAGTATTTGTGGTCTTTGTTTCGTTATTGTTCTGACTCCTTTTCCCACTTTATCACTCATAATCTCATTTTTCTTCTTAACCCTTAAACTGCGCAACGCGCCTGCAGGCTCACGTCTGGTTTGCGCAACGCGCCTCCGGGTATTTGTATTTTTCACGTTCCATTCAAAACTCCCATGGCTACATAGGGTTCACATCAGCTTCCTCAGGGCTCTTGTAAACAGACGCCATCTATAAAAAAAATCGTGGTCCACATTCCCGGGTGTGGGAGCCTCAGTAGTGTGTGAGCAACCAAGGTTGGCGCTCGCAGCATGAGCGCACAGTACTGCTGTTCAGCATGTGACCACAGCATCGCCTAATAATGTCAAAATATATATAACTTGTATTATTTAGCTATGATAGTGTTATATTAGAGCCTGAGTGTGATAATGACTGGGTACAATGTTCAAATATCAGTGATTCAATGCTGTTCACGATGTTCACAGTGCTAGCCACAGCACCACAGCATTATTTCGTTCATCTAAGAATCTTCAAATGATTTCTTAGGTTCCTTTTCAAAATAAACGTGTGGTCAATTATTCATTTACAGGAATTAGTGACCAGGATTGTGATAATAGCAGGATTGTGGTTATAATTAGCGTTGTGCATATAGTATTGTGGAAGGAGGAATTTTGATGAGGGAGGGAGGGCGAGAATTGAGGTAGCCTCATTGTGTGTGTGTGGCTGCCACTCTTGTTTTGCTCACCATACTAGCTTAGTAGTTCGCTATGGGCAACACATATGTACATGGGTATATATAATGTGTGTATATAGTGTAAGAACAGCAACAGGAGAATGTTGAGAGGAGCTATTTTGGTGAGGGAGGTGACGTAATCGTAGCGTCGTCTGCTGTGTGATTTTTCATGCAATGTATGATGGCCACTGTACTGTTTGGACACAATACCGGCTTACTTGCATAGTTCTGGTAAATAAAACATGTAGATAGGTATATAGAACATATGTAATGAGAACTATAGCAATATGGTGGGAGGAGCAATGTTGGCGAGTAAGATGTTGGAGTGAGGGAGACTGGCTGGGTGTGGCTGCTCTCACTCGAGGTGTTCTGAATGTGTTCATGGCCAAATGCTCCTATTGGCCCATATGCGGCAGCTGCTATTGGCCCATACGGGGCAGCTGCTATTGGCTCATACAGGGCAGCTGCTATTGGCCCATACGAGGCAGCTGCTATTGGCCCATACGGGGGCAGCTGCTATTTGCCCATACGAGGCAGCTGCTATTGGCCCATATGAGGCAGCTGCTATTGGCCCATACGAGGCAGCTGCTATTGGCCCATACGAGGCAGCTGTTATTGGCCCATACGAAGCAGCTGCTTCGCGATGTTCTGAATGTGTTGATGGTAAATGTATATAGTGTGTGACAGTGTATAGTGAGTAGATATGTTGAAAATATACATAAATGAACATGAAACATTGGTGTGAATAACTGTATGATGGGAGGGGCAAAGTTGGCGAATACAATGTTGGAGAAGTGAGGGAGGGCTGGCTGGGTGTGGCAGCTCTCACTCACGGTGTTCTGAACGTGTTGATGGTGAATGTATATAGTGTGTGACAGTGTATAGTGTGTAAATAGATTGTATATATACACAAATTAGCATGATACATAGTAAATATATGCTGCATATGTGTACACAAGTTTCATGCACGTAACACAGTGTCTACGGACAGTACGGATGTTGTACTGCGATATTATAGTGTACGTGTTCATTATACATTGGATTGGCACATAAAAACAATGAAAATGTATTTGGAACTGTGCGCAAAAAATGAACGAAAATAAATTCGCGGCAACTCGCGCACCTCGCCCCGAGCGCCCCCCGCCCCCGAGAGCTTATGGCATGGGCGCACGGGGAATGACGACGTCACGCCCCAACTTCCGGACCCCATAGCAGCCAAAGTAAGTACAATTTCGACTTTTTTTTTACATACCCATACTGAGGGAAGGGTTTTTGACACTTTAAAAAGAAAAAAGAATTTTTTTCCAGAGAATTTATTTCCTGCGCACTGCGGGGGTGTCACATTTGGAGGCAACGCAGTTAAGGGGTTAAGTATAGTGCATATTGTTGATGTGGCTTTGTTGTACTGCCTACAAAGTTCAACAACACGTGTACCGTTCTCATGCTTCCGAATGGTCTCTTGTTTCTCCTCTATTGTCATCCTCACATGGGCTTTCTGGCCTTTATCCTTACCACTCGCTTTCTTGGGACCCATGGTGAGATATATAACAACAAATTGTATAGTCAAATCACCAAAAATCCAACAAAATGCTGAAAATCCACGAGAAGAATTGATGTGGGGTAGTCACTGGGCGCGAGACAATGGTAAACTGAGGGGCGAAGGGGTGGAGGGGCGACGATCACCGAACCATCACGCGCTAGGTCGGCCTGTACGCGTATCAACAAACTCGCATCCCAAGGTAACCCTTGCCTTCCGAGACATATTTTTCGAGGAAATCCTGCTCGTCTTCCGAAAAACTCGCATACAGGGACACTCGCATTCCGAGGTACCACTGTACTGTAATTAATGAGAATCCCTTAGAAATTTTTTTTAATATAATATTTCATGAAAATTTGGCTTGATTGGGTTTGATTTGGCTTGGCCTCTTGGGTACGACATGCATATATATAATATAATGTGTGTGTGTATTTTGTTCTTATTGTTTGTGTGTTTCATTGCAGATGATGAAGATGTGTCAAGTGAAGTCTCCCTTGGTTCTTCATTAGACGCATCCTCTGCCGGTGTAGTTCGTGCAGAGTCCTTGCGAGAGTCGTCACCAGTAAGGGAATATCTTGGTCGCTCCTTTGGCAAGCGCTCTTCTAGTTTAGACAGTAATTGTGCGCCACTAGTCGATGCTACACAGCCTAAATCTTCCGAAAGTGGTGGGCTTCTTTCCAGACTCACAAAAACATTTGAAGAAAAGATTAATGAAATTCGGAAGGAGAAGGAGGGCAGAGTTGAAAAGGACAAGGAAAAAGACCGTCTTGGAATTGCTGGAGATGGTTCCACGGAAAGTGATGGTGGGTCAGTCAGTGGAGATAAATCTCCTACATTAAAAGACAAAAAACCTCTTGATATTGTACAAAAAACTCTTGACGAGGAAAAAACATTAAAGACAGAACTAGCTGGATCTCCTCCAAAGTCCAAGACCAGTATTGTTCAAGACATAACTGAACATACTAGCAAAATAAAAACTGAGTTGGGTAACATTAGGCCAAAGCTTTCAGAATTACGCCATCGGCGAAGTAGCAAAGAAAGTAGCAAAAACAGCAAAGACAATTCCAAAAATAAACCATTTCCATTTACTTCTCTCCTTGGGCGAGATGAAGGATTGGGAGAGGAGATGCTAATAGAATGTGATGAAGCTGAAGTTGATAGAGCGGTAGAAGCACAGGAAGATCCATGTGTGTTTCACGAAGACCTAGCAGTGATGGACGGCGAGATAACCACCGAAGAAAAACAATTTGTCGAGTGTAAATTCTCACCACCAAAGCCATCTTTGCGGAAAATAAAACCTTCATTACTGGCAGAGGGAGTAAATGATATAACATTTAGAGAACAGTTTCTAGAAATAGCAAATATGTTGCCAGTATCTGTGTCCCTTCTGTCAAAAATGTCAATGGTTATATTTTGTTTATGCTTTGTACTACCCATTCCAAGATTCCTGGCTGGTCTTATAGCTGGAGTGATGATATCGGGGTTAGTATTTTATTGCCTCCTTCAGTTCCTGATACCCCCTGCACCCGACATACCTCCAGTCGATGACGGACCAGTCTTGTTAACGCTGCCGCCATATGAAGATCAACAGTTGTATAAGGTTTGTATGCTACTTTTCATATACATTAATGTAGCAATGTCAGTATATTTTACTGAGTATTTGTTCCTATAGGACTGTCATCATTTTTGTAGCTCATGCTGTTAACTGATGTTAAGCCACAGTGATTTAGGCAAATACAAACTGACAATAAGTGGGAAAAGTTACTATGAATTACCCGATTTCACAGTTTGAATTTAATTTAATACTTTGTGATTTTTTTATCCTAATTGCTTGGGCTGAATAGAATTGTAGATAATGATGTCAAACTATAGTCCTTACGCCTTGCTTTATATCGGGTGTTTCCCAATGGGTTGGGCAAGGCAAAAGTTTCTCCATGAGGTTATATACCAGCCGGTCGGGCGAGCGGGGAGCCGGTCGGCCGAGCGGACAGCACGCTGGACTTGTGATCCTGGGTTCGATCCCAGGTGCCGGCGAGAAACAATGGGCAAAGTTTCTTTCACCCTATGCCCCTGTTACCTAGCAGTAAAATAGGTACCTGGGTGTTAGTCAGCTGTCACGGGCTGCTTCCTGGGGGTGGAGGCCTGGTCGAGGACTGGGCCGCGGGGACACTAAAGCCCCGAAATCATCTCCACATAACCACTATACAAACTTTTTGCACTTTCAAACTGTGTATCCCGCTCCAACCACTCTTTTTATATACTTAAGGTCTTGCCTTCCAAGTACTGATCATCTTCCTCTACCATGATTCCCATATTTTACCCCATGGACGCCCTTCTTGTTAAGTCAGGCACGGTACTTTCACCCAGTTTCTTTGTCCTAGTCGTTTCTGAAAGGAACACCTCGGTAGATCCCCAAACTTAGCTCCGGTACTTCAAAGTCTTAAACACACTGGGCCTCGTAGACCAGTCGCCCACCAGTAGCCAGAACCAGAATCTGGCTCGTTCGATGAGGACAGCTTGGGGATCAGGATTGACATGAAACTGGAAAAAAAGTCTTGGGAAGAATTAGTGCTATGAAAGAAGCAACTGTGAAGGAAACTAGATCACCCTTAAGCAAACAGTCATTTCTGTGGGGTAAATAACTCTTCTGCCAGACTGTCACCAGATGGCAGCAGAGGTCACCTGGGGTCTCGGCAAGCTTGCTTTCTCACTCTTTTTGCCTGCTCCATCAGCTAAACAGCATTTCACTTTCAGCCAAGTGGTGTTGGCTTTCCCATGAAACATTTGTTTCCTTAGAGACCATTGCTGTGTTCTTCATTTATGCTTCATTATCATGTTTATGCCACCCACATTGCATGTGCCCTAGCATTCCATTTCACTCTGTGGCCGAAATTATCTTGTGATTGGCCTGTGTTCTGTTATGCCAATTCTGGAAGATACCAGCAGGTATCTTCCAAAGATACCTGCTGAAAGGTTTCAAGATATTCCTCCTTGGCGAGTTGACTTGTTTCATGTTGCCGTGCTTCTGGACAATGCATTTGACTTACTCTACCCTGTGGGGCCTGCTGATGGGGAGTGTGTTTTGCATATTAAGAACATAAGAAGAACTTAAGAACAAAGGTAACTGCAGAAGGCCTGTTGACCCATACGAGGCAGCTCCTATTTATAACCACTTAATCCCACTCATATACATGTCCAACTCATGTTTGAAACAATCAAGGGACCCCACCTCCTCCATGTTACGCAGTAATTGGTTCCACAAATCAACACCCTTGTTACCAAACCAGTATTTACCAAAGTCTTTCCTAAATCTAAACTTATTCAATTTATACCCATTGTTTCGCATTCTGTCTAGCGTTGATAAAGACCAGGCTGTTGTGTTTCATCTACTCCTGGTGCATGTTAGGGACCTTGCACTTTAGCCAAAGGCTTGATTCAGTCACTTAAATGGTTTTATTATAATGTATTGCTGCTTATATCCTCCCTCACTCCAGGCCTGCCATCAGCCACCCAATAGGCAGCATGGCAGATGCAGGAAGAATGACTATTGGCACATATTACCAATGGACATTCCTCAAGCTCTTGCCTAGCAGGCTTAGCAAGCTGACGTGTACTAAACCACAACAGTCCCTGGTAGTATAGTGGTAATGCATTGATTACCATGAGTGATCTGCATAAGGCTTGAGTCCTAGCCTGGGAGGCTTGACTAGGTGCTAATCCTTAACTATTCACCTCTGTTCACTCGAGCAGTCATAGGGTATCTGTTTATTAACCGATTGGTGGGTCTTGTCCCAGAGAAAAACTAGTGGGTATGGCTTAACATGAGCTGTGGTAAGGGACAGCACTTAGCATGCTAACAGCAGTCAGTAGACCTGAAGGTAAAGACCAGGGAGGGATCCTAGGCATAGGAGCCACTTGTCAGTAGTAACACATACTGAATTTAACCTAGAAATATATAGTTTCAAAAGGCATCAGCTGTGTAACATAAAACATGCCCACCCCCTTGTGTACCCTTAAACAAAAAATAATAAATGACCATTCCCAACCCAGAGTCACAATCCTTGCTCTATTCAGGGTGGGGCACCTTTCGGGAATCCAGCTTCTCTGAGAGAGATATCCAAACCCACCAAGAAAGGTAACCCCTGTCAGGGCAACGGTATCGGTGAGCACCTGGAGCTCTAGACCCTCGCAGCTTGAGGCAAACAGTTTCTCTCAAGTCACACAAGTGAGATTATAAATACATGCTCATGAAGTAAATACTAAAAGTTGAAACAAGACACAAGCAAATGGGCTGCCACAGGACAAGGTCCAGAGGATGGCCAACACTTGCCTGGAAAATAATTAGGAATCCAAATTTGGAGTGACTGGGACCAGTCAATCATAGCTTACACCAGGCAATTGATGAAGTAATTCACTGGATGGGGCATTAGTTCTCTGGAATTGCCATCTGCAACAAGTGGATGAACAACTTATCTACTGGGTGGATTGCTTCCCGATTTATTTGCATTTGGTGAGGGTTGTCATCAATCCACTGTTGTCTGGATCTCGGTGAGGGGGGGGAGGCCTGGTTTTGGCTTCTTCCCCTTTCCCCAGCTTTCCACCCCTGGTAGGCTTTTATTGACTCAAAAAGACCTGACGTGTGCGTGCATGGAGGATGAGTAGAGCACCCTAGCTACAGGAAGACACTGAATGGCTTTTCCAGAAAATATGTCCATGTATACAAAAATGTTCAAAGTCTAATCTTTCATGTACAGTTAGCTGTACTCGCCTAGTTGTGCTTGCGGGGGTTGAGCTTTGACTCTTTGGTCCTGTGTCTCAACTGTTAATCTACTGGTGTACAGCTTCTTGAGCTTATTGAGCTCTTTCATATCTACATTTGAAAGTGTGTATGGAGTGAGCCTCCACCACATGTATGTGCATATAGGTTTGCTGACTAGCTACACCCATACCATGTTTATCGGAAAGCGGTACATGTCACTAGATACACAGTATGAATGTTATTTTTGATTATGCAGTATCGTTGTATTTGAACACTAACATATCACGTACTACAAACATAATTATATCTAGATTTTCAAAATTGTGGTGCAGTATAATAAGATAATGGGCTCATAACCAAGTTAGATCTGGCATTTGTTGCCCTGTCGTGTGGGATTATTGCACAGGAGCCTTCTTGCTCTTGTTGCTGCCATCCCTAAATGGTAGGTGGTATTCCCGGAGGTGGATTTTGCCTGTCGTCACATCTTGGTCCAATCTTTTACAGTTCTAGTGAAGTTATGCTCTGCATATTCACATCATATTTATCAATTTGTTACAAGGCTTCTGGCATTTGTGTATCATTTACATTCATTAGTATTGGTCACTTTTGATGAAGCTTTGCTTTTAGATGATAGAGGAACTTGTGGGTTAATAAACTCCATCAGAAACTACAGAGTGCACATTATTTGCAGGTAAATTGTCACTTTGAATTGGTGCTGGGGCATCAAGAAGAGAAGCACTTTGGATTAATGCTGGGTCTTCAGGAAGAAAACCACATCCTGTCCTCCATCTACCTTGATCACTTGACATCTCCGTGTCTTCAACTGCGTGTTCATATACTGAGGCATGCTTTGTTACTCCTTCAGCTTGTTCCTCGGTTCCTTGCCCCTTTTTTTATTGACACTGTGAAAACATGACACCTGTGAATGCTGCCATCATCTCGCATGCTTCTAATATAGCGTTTTCATTAGGTTTACCCTTTTGTGCTAAAGATTAGCAGTGGTTGCAGGCAATGAGTCACAATAACATGGCTAAAGTATGTTGACCAGACCACACACTAGAAGGTGAAGGGACGACGACATTTCGGTCCGTCCTGGACCATTCTCAGGACAATTCTAGTGTGTGGTCTGGTCAACATTAGCAATGGTTATGTGAAGTACATTTGTCTCTGGGTTTTCTGTTCTTTCAAATTTACAAATGGTCCACAGTTTTCACTTAATGTTAATTAAATAGACTTATTGTGTTTTACAGTGTTTCGAAAAGGTTCCTAATAGCTATATTTTTGAAAGGTCCCCTCAGTAGCTCCCAGAGCTATTGCATAGGGACTGTCTAAGGTGGTGCACCAGGCCTCCCAAGACCCACCTGGGACCAGACTATGGCTATCTATGAGATGATAACAGCTTGGGGATCAGAGATAAACACCAAACCAAGAAAAAGGTGTCAGAAAGAATAAATGCAACAAAACAAGTGATAGCTTTAGATAGAAATCGATAACCCTTTGAAAAGGAAGGGAAATAATAATGGTTGTGGGAGTAAAGCCCCAGCAGTAATGTGCCTGACTGCCACCAGGTGGCAACCAAGGTCAGCCGCTCGGTCAGCCAGGCACCATTCACATGCCTGTCGCAGCCAAGACTGCACTTCTCTGCTAGGCTCACGTTTAACGTCATGCTTTCAAATTAGTGGTGTTGGCTCTCCATGGAATGGTGTGTTTCATACACTGGGGTCAATTTTTGTTTTCTCTCAATTTCCTCCTTCACCTTTCTATTTTGTAATACATACTTGCAATGTATCGGCCACAAATTTTCATTTTGGTGCAGGTGTGTGTTGGGGTTCTCTTCCCAG